AGGTTGCATCTTTCATCCAAACGCTATTCTTCCGGATTGCACGAAAGTCGATGAACGCTCTTTTTTCGAAGCTCGACAGCGTGCTCGCGCCGCGCTGACACTCGATTTAAGTGCGAGCTCTCTTGACCGTTGAACCACGATGATTATCAAGTGTACTCTCGCCGGAATCCCACGACCACTCGAAACAAATATTTTTTCGCGACGTGACGTGTGGCGAAAGAGAGAGAGAAAAAAAAGATGAGTTAAATGTTGCACCGGGCGGGCACGCGAGCCACTCCGCGGGTGCACTTCATTAGAACTTTTAAATCTCGTTCCGTGTCGGTCCGCGGTCCAACTCGCGGGACGACCGAGTTTCGCAACAGCCAGATGAATTCGCTCGTCCCTTGAACGTCGTTATACCCACGCCAGTCACAGATTTTACCAGTTTTCGCTCCCTGTTCCAAGCGTTTCTTTATCATATTTTCTCTCGTACACTAACCAATTTCAATCTCGTCCCTGCAATCTGTTTATTCCGCTTTTTATATTTCCCAACAGCCGAAAACGGAAATGGAAATTATCAGGAGGAGATATCTCTTCCCGGTTTTATTTTTTTACGATTCTCTCGCACGCGACGACGTTATCGGCACGAGTTTTCGGTCGGGACGAGTGTTGAATAAAGCATTCACGCTGAGCAGGTGCTGTCGCGTAAAGAACGAGAGGCTTTAACGGTTTTCCAGTGTCATTGTTCCGAGCGCGTAGCATTGTCGCGTCGATTAAACGAGGAGAGAGAAGGTCCCGGTTGAATCCTGCGGGGATCTTGAAGGCCATCGGGCCGGGGATTAACAATGCGTCCTTTCTTCTTACCTTCTTCTTTGTTAATAAGCTTCGCGTTCTTTCCCCTGGGAACAAATGCAGCTTTTCTCGAACTTAAAACGCGATTGTTCCGAGCCTCGCACCTCTGCTGTTGCTCTCCTCTTTCGAAACAGACGCGTGGACTGTAACTCGAATACGTAGTTAACTGCGCTCGAGTTAACGACTGCAAATTGAAACAACGCGATCGTTCCGTTCGTTAAAAACTATTGCCACCGGGCAACAAGTTGCATTCGAACGCGATGCTCGGAGATTCGCGAATAATAATCGGTAAGCGGATGAAAGTGACGGCAATTAGAATCTGTGCGAGGCCGGACAAGCGAGCTGCCGGTCGTTTAAAGCCAAGCGTGCCCATTACACGGACTATTAGGAATTACTTGGCGAGCGTGGCTTTCGGAAAAACGTTCCACTTTGTATAATGGTCGGGCCGAAAGGAGCTTGGGGCAAGTTCCGCTCCGGCTAGGTAGGTGTATGCACGCTTACGGTGCACGAGGGCGCGAGCGAGTGCGCGCGTTTCCCCTCCGACTATTTCATTTTAAAGTCAAAACGCCTAGTCGGAGCAGCGAACATCGTAAGAGGGGTTGCTGTACTATTATAACTTTGTAATGGTCTACTAGCGCGTACTTTGCCCTGGATATTGCCTTAAAAGGCGCAACCGTGAAACGTCCCCTTCGTAAATTGAACTTTCGAACTCGAGCCGCGCGGTCCGCCGACCGAAATCGGCCACGTTTCTCTTCCTCTTTCGTCGTGGCATCGGCGGGATCCGATCTTGAAAACTCGGGAATAGGGTCAGTGGCACTTAACGCGCCTAATTCTAGCGTGGTCGAGGCACGATTAAACTTTCAAGACGACAGGAGGTTCCCAACCGTGTACAATGTCCGCAGCTCCTTCGAAAGTTTATCCTGTACCGGGACTAGGTCTCGAGGACAATCGGACCGACTGCTTTCGCTCATTCTTCTTCAAGGTACACCACGCGTACGATTCGCCGACTACTCGATGTATAATCGATATATCGTTTTGTGGAATTCTTATATAAAAGAGTAAAGTTTTTCCAGCTGTTGCGAACCGTGAGATTATAATTTTCCTAAGGAATCTCCTAAGGGGAAGGGGAGATGTGTAGAGGGAGACGAAAAAGGATCCGGCAGGAATCCGACACGAACGGCGACTCCTCGCGACACAGTAAGGAAAATGTTGTTGTTGACTGTCGTGGACAGTCGTTGTCGAGCGAATCTATCGATTCCTCGGTTCCTTTCCTCAGGCATTCTTGGCTGGCCAGGGCTGGAAGTAGTCCGGATTGTTGGCCGAACGCCAGAAGGCCAAGCGAGCGAGCGCTCGTCCAGGTGGAAGCAAAAGGTAGCGGAGCACCTCGAGCAAGGTTCCGGGCAAAAAGGCTCGGTGGGAGGAAAGGAGAGTGGAAGAAGAAGAGGAGGACGACCACGAAATATTTGTCAATCGCCAAAGCCGGGAAGACCGGGGTCGGGAAAGTCGATTTAACGCCCGTTAAGGAAGCAATTCCTTTAAGAAGGACGAACGCGACGGCGGAGTTGGAGGAGCAAGGGTGGCGCGACCCGGGATCTCCTCGACCTTCCTGGACTTACGACCTTTCACCGGAGAATCGCTTCCGTCCGCCATTATCGGCGGACGAATGGAACATCAATAACCAATTTCGTAAGACTAATATCGCGAAAATTAGTTTCCTGAGATCCCTTTTCCCCCATGGTTCGTCCTTCTCCTTTTCTCTCCCTCCGATCCATACACCGAGCTATATACCTTCGTTAAAAGGTCTACGACCTACTCGCCGCTCCGTTCATGCTTTTCTTAATGTTCGACCATCGAGTGAGAGCGATCGTGAATCTCTCTTTATCGTCTCGCACTACCCGTTTCCGGCCGTACTATCCTTTTTTTATCGCGTACAGCGTACATTCCGGCCCGAATAAACGATAATACAGCTTTTAATCCCAGTCGCTCCGTCACCCAGATTTACCCGATGAGATATCCACTCGGACGCTTGACTCCGAAAACTGTTTTCCAACTTCCATCTTCGTACGTCGGACTTCTTTACTTTTCACTCAACGGTTATTTTTTACTTAACTCGCAGTAACGTCTTTAATTACGCGGAAAGAAGAATTTGACGAACTGATTCCAAAGGATACTGGCTGGCGAACGTTGCGCCACTGGCTGTGTTAATTAGTCGCTAATTTCCATCGTGTCGGTGTCGGATGACGATCTCCTTCAGGACTCGCAAAAGACAGACGTTTCCTGCCTCGTCTCTTTGGCAGGGTTCAGCTTTCTCAAAAGTTCCGATGCTCCGCGAGCCATTCCATGAATTACACGCTGCTTTTTAATTATAAATTAATTATTCCCCGAGTTATGGTCCGATTCTCGGTTTCCTCTCTCGGCGTAATTACTGGGTCTTCAGCTTGAGCAACGCCAAAACTCCGCTTCTTGTTTTCCGCTCCACCCCGACTTTTTCTTCCATTTTTTTTCGTCTCGCCTCTCCACCTTTTCTTGCCCTCGCGCCGGTATTCCAGACTACACCGTTTCGCCGTTGCATCTGCAGCGTTTCTTCGCGTAGATACCACTGTTCCTTCCGTAACATCACCTTTTTGCGCAACCGTAGAGGTGTTTCGACGCTTCTTTTCAACCTGCGAATTTCCAGCTCGACGAGCACGCGCTCGATCGAAGAATTTTCCCGATTTTCCGACGCGTTTTCAGTGAAACGTCGACTGGAGATAACCAAAAAGCTCCGCTACCCTCGTCCCTACCCATCCCCAGCGAACCGTTTCATCGGGCGCATTAATTGTTTTGCCGAAATTGGCATTCCCCGGGGTCCTGCAAATTTACCACCAAAAAAGCTGCTGGTTCAAGCGCGAACGGAACCGCGCGTACCCCGTTACCGCGATAAACTGTTATATGGTTCAATCGTTTTATAACATGCATCTTGAAACTGAAGAGGTAACATGAACTGGTAGAACCGATTTCCGATACTGAAACGTGTATACGATGTAGTAGGAGGAAGCTACTACGGTTGTCGAGCAAATTTGATCAATCGGCAATTTCATTTGTTTTATTGGCAACGAAATTTGACGCGATTCCATCTCTCGTCGTGTCTTTTTATCGAGGGAACATAACGGTCATAAAACGAGAGATGCTTCCAACGTTAAAGTTGATTTATTAATGTTTGATTTATTTCCCCGTATCGATCCGAACGAATGCATTCATCCACCGACGTGGCAAGATAATGTTTGTTAAAAACTTGTCCAAATAAGGAATCGTACCGCTTAACAACGGAGCGTCTTCGAAGGATGCAGAGCGGCTATTAATACGCGTATCGTTGCGGTGGAATCGCGCGATAAAAGTGATGCATGTCGCTCGAACGACGGTAGCTCGAGAACAAATTCCGTGCACGTTGCTTTTTATGCGCCGCCGCTTGTCAAACGTCCTCCTCGATTACTTATGTACCCGGAACGGGCCCCATTATTTTAACGCCGCCAGTCGTATTTATTGCGTGGATGTCCCTGCGAAGGAAGCCACTTTTCAAAAAGCGAGGAGCGAAGGATAGAGAGTGGAATACCGAGGGGGGGGAAAAGGTCGGCCGTTTAGGAAAGGTGGACAGACGGGGCCGCCGGTCGAGTGCATAAACATGAAGGATGTACGAGCGTGTCGGATGCAAATTTTACGAGTTTTTCCAATGGCGTTGATGAATAAGGAATCGTGAGGTCGCGGGAAGAGTGGCGAGTTTTCGTTGGAAACTCCGTTTCATCAAGTAACCGAGCAGCCCTCGCCTCCTCGCTCCCGTTGTAATCTCGCCTCCTTTATATCTTCTTTCTTATCAGCAGCCAGCGAAAGGGGGTAAGAACCGAATCGAGGATTTCGCGAACGAAACTTGACTGAGCGAACGCCATACGTAACGCCGCCGGCGTTCTTCGTACACGTCGCCCACTATCGCGACGTCTCTTCCCATTCTATTCTTCTTCTTTTCGTTTACTCGCCTCCCTTCCTCCACCTTTATCCCGCGCCATCGGGCTCCTTGTACTAACTCTCGCTGACGAGAACCGAACAGCTGTGCAGATTTATCCTTTCCACTCTCATTGGATAAGAGCAGAAATATTTGTTTTCGACCCCGCGAGACCCCTGCTCGCTCCTCTTCTAAATTAACGATCAATCGAAATGATTCCGACCGCGCCTGAAGTTGCCATCAGTCAAAATTTCTACGACATGCCCGTAACGCGTAAAATGATCAAACCTTAAAAGGGCAGAAATCTCGTTCGGCCAAACCGTCAAGCAAAATTCTTGGACACCGTACAAAGGGACCAGTAAACCCGTTTGCCGACGTTAACGACCACCGTACTCGATAAATTCGCAACGTCGTAAACTACCCGAAGGTTATGCGATGCAAAGTGAACCCGCGCGATCGTTTAGAAACTTGGTAACTTCCTAACTGACAGGAGATTTCGCAACGAAAATTCAACGTAACCAGACTCGAATAATAGCGTTTTGCTGAAAAAAAGATTTACATCGTTCATTCCTTGTAGATCTCTGTCGAACGTCTCGCGTCGTTTGATTTCCCGTTTCTGTAAAATTCTTGGACGTCAAAACGAACGCTAGAGGTATGAAAGGTACGATGAGAAGAGGGACGAAGTGTGTCGCGCAGACTATCAATCTGTCCAATCCGGAAACATGCATAAGACCGAAGAGGATTCAGAAGCTGGTCCAGTCGGATCCGACGCGGCCGTGTCCCAATGTCTCCGCTGGATCCACGTCCTATTGGACTCCACGGCCGGTGGCCATTAAAATCTGCTCACGGAAGGACATGCAGAGAACTTGCCCGCCCAAGGTAAACGGAAGATTGTTTGACGCGACGGGCTTATTTCTGCCAGCGAACAAAAAGTCCATTTCCGTCGCTTTAACTAATATTTACGAGCATTTAGCTCATAAGCGAGAGAGAGGTCGGCTCGTTAACGGAGTGCTTTGCGAGAGTTCGACACTCGTCTTTGCGCGAACGTTGACGTACCGTGACGGTGGTGGTGACGGCGGCGGATGATAGCGTTCCGGCACCTGTGCGGAATTGGTTAGTCGATACGTTTGCTTGAAATTAGCCCGACAGTCCGGTGTACACAGGTACGGTCGACGCCGATGGCTCGCTAATGGAGGAGGACAGTTCCGAGTTGGCGTGTAGTCGCTGCTAGGGACACGTACGTGACCTAGCTGTTCGCATTTAACGGACCCTGGGGGTCTGCTCCAACGCAGAATCGGATATTCTCGAGGGTCGGGTGAAAGCAGCGAATCTTATCTTTCTTTCACCGAGTTCCTTAGCACGTAGATGCGCTTTCAACGTCGTTCGGACGAGTCCCATTCGACCCTGCGAACGAGATTAGCGTTCGATCGAAATCTGATTGTTGTCCGATGCGTTGTTGGTATATGTCATATAGGAATCCAGTCTGTAGCCTTCACAGGTCCCGTTATACAAATATGTATAAGAATAGTTGACGCGTTTCATATTAAACGCCAGAATATTCGTGGAGACGACACGAGTCGCGATAACGTCACGTTTGCGTAGCTGTGCGACTGTCCCCAAAAAGCACCGCCGAAGTCGGTGGCACAGAAACTCTGCTCGACTCTGATCTTTCTTCTGAAGAGCGGGATCGCGGCTGGTCTCGTTTACTGGACGCATTCCGAGGGCTTGTGGGGTAGCAGCGAGGACGTCGAGGACTTGTATCGTAGAATAGTGTCCACTATTTGCACCAGCAATGACTACGATGAAGTAACCACAAGTTCGAAGCTCCGTACACAGTTTATAAGTAATCGTTTCTTTATGAAACCCTGACGTGTTCGCAGATCGAGTTGCCGCATCTGCACCAGTTCAGATATGTGCTGATTGAGAAGTATAATAATGCAGTGTTCACCGTAATGAACTGCATCCTGACCGCGACGTATAAGTTGCGCGACCAAATCCGAAATATGATGGACCCGTGTTCTCCGACGAAGCCGTGCGACGAGGCCAAGTGTCCGTGCAAGAAGCAAACAGAGTCGACAGAGTCGACAGAGTCGACAGAGTCCACGGAGTCCGTGTAATCTTAACGTCTCACTCTTAAAAGCCTGTACGTCGTGTGCACGTTCCCGTGAACATATGAAAAATCGTAATGCACGATGAATTTATAAAAATACAGATTCTGTCGTTACTGAGAATAAAGAAGTGACTTTGATCGTGCGTGCTCGTTGCTCATAAAGATGTTTCGTACCGATGCACGTAACCGCGCGCAAAACATAGTGCGGATTAAAATTCCTTTCAGGCTCCTTCCATTTTTTTCTCGAGTACACCGGAGGGCACGCCAGGGATTTCTCGCGGTAGCTGCATCTTAAGCGATTTTTATGATCCCTCGTACTATATGTATGTAGTAAAATCGTAAAATTTCAGAATCGCCCGCGCATCTCGCCAGCCACTCGCGAGCAACATAAATAATATCAAAGCTTCCTCGGAACGATCCTAGGCTCCTTTTAATCGAAGGGGATCGAGAGAATCGATCTCGTGAACCCCTCGCGCGGCCCGCAATCATTCCGGTTGAATTTTCCTTTCGATTCCCTCGCGAAATGCTTTCCACTTGTGAGGTTTTATAAATTTCGGATTATGCTAAACGATATTCCAACAGTCTCCCGAGATCGTCCGACCGGACGAATTTCTCCGGGCAACGAGGGGATATTCCCCTTCTCGATCAAACGGGAAGCCCTCAGGATACGTAATCCGACGAAACGTTTTCGAGAACTCTTTACCGTGTCCATTAATAGACATCTCGCGAGTTAATTGCGAATTTTATTACCGGTGGTCGTACGCAGGTACGTGCCTAATGATCGGTCGGTCGTTATCAAGACCGATAGTTACGGTGTTTGGTTTAACGAGCGAACGCCGCAGTTTCGGCCTCCTATTTAGAGTCGATTAATATCTATTAATCAAGGTCCGATGATTAATCGCGCGCTATATTTTCTGTTCCGGTTATCGAACGGACGTGGAACGATCGCTGATTACCTTCTCGCTCCAATTTCCGCGCTCCTCAGAACCTTTAAAGCTCGGCTGTCTTCTTCGATCCGCTGCTCCTGCTGGGGTTCGTGATTCAAACGAGGGTCTGCGTAGCTTCGATTCAGACAGTTAAACAGTTTATTCAGATCGAAACTTTTATGTAGTACCTATATATACATACGAGTTAGTAGACGATATGGAGTTCTGATATGAAATCACCTATACAGTGAACTTAAAATATAATCGATTTACACGGATCGCGCGTCATGCTGTTTATGTACACTGTTTTTGTTCGTTACTCTCCGGATTTCGTTCTCGTTTTCGTTCACCATTGAATCTCGTACCGCTCGCCGAGAATCTCGCCTTCGACGTTTCGTCGAAATAGAAAATGCGTAAAAAACGAAACTTATGAAACGGCGACAAAAAATGATGCGAGATCAGAAACTTTGAGCGTACAGTGGCATCGATGCGGATTCTCGGCTTGTGCGTGTTACCTCGCTAAATATCGATTCTCGCTGGCCGGCTTCTCGACACCCGTCAGCATTAGGCTAATATTCATGGACGTGAAAAAAGTGTGATCGCGTCGAACAGGTCGGTCGTTTCCACGCGGTAATCGTGTCGCAATCGTTTTTTGTGTTCGCGATGCGACGATTGGTCGTGACGATTTTTTTTTCTATTTTCTTTTTTTATTTCCAGTTTGTTATTCGAGGGTTCGATAGAAAAAGGCGTTACGGATCCGATTTCCGAAAGCGCGACTAATTTTCTCTATGTTGCGGCGAGGACAGCGCGCGTACTTTAATTAACAAAGATCGTTGTTTCGTCGATGCGTTTCGGGAAATAACGACCTGTCAACCTGTCTCACTTGACGCGGGGCATCGATCGGTCCCGCGAACGGGACGTTTCGAACTGCCTCGATTTTTCTGCAGCACGATCAAGTTCTCACGCACACACACTCTCACACACGCACTCTCTCTCTCTCTCTCTCTCTCTCTCTCTCTCTCTCTCACTCTCTCCCAACGTTTCGGCAATATTCGCAACGGCAAAAAATCGAAATTACCGACGACGTTCGTAATCGATCTCTTTTTAACGATACAATACTTATGTACAATGATACGACATTAACTAACGAGCAACGACTTTTAGTTTCTTTTTTTTTTGTTGTTTCATTAATTATTTTTTTTTCTCGTTTTGAATACATCGAAAGAGGCGCTCGACGCTTGATTCCCGATGTTCGCGTGCATACCGATAAGCGAACGTTCATTCTTCCTTCGAGAGTTCTGGACGAAGTTTCGCGTCGCTTCATTCTTTTTAGGAATATACATTGCCACTTCTTTACTCCTAGTTTCGCCCGTCAAGCTTCGTGACCTCGTCGCGAAGCGTCGCGTGGAAGCCCGATTTCTCTGACCTTTGTAAATTCAATTTTTCACACCTACCCCGTCTCTCTTCCTCCGCGAGTTTATCCTCCACCTGGTTCGTCGCGAGATGAACTAATCGAATCAGATTCGCTCCTTCGCGCGAAACGAGAACGCGCCAGAACTTGTCCCGCTTTGATTGTTGCGCTTGCGAAACGTCCGCACGTACCGCACCGTACGCACGTGCATACATACATATGTATATTTACAAGAGTTACGTCGGAAATTCTGCTGAATACGAAAATGAACGTTATCGGCGACGATAAGAGGAAAAGGATTTAGAAACATTGTATCACAGTTATCGTGTACGGTTAAACAAAGCGGCGGTTGGTTTTCTAAATAAATTCAAGCATTAATTTCTTCCACGCATGCGAAACCAGCTTATCTTTGACCGTTCTCATGAATTTTGACTTGATTCGACATACTATACACAGTAAATTGTTAATTGTCGCGTGAAACGCGATACTATTTCCATTCTCAATCTCCATCAATTTATTGTCGATTCCAACTGGATTTACGATATTTCCATTAACTAATTGAAACGACTGAACGGACACTTACCTTGCTCGACGAGTCGAGAGAAAAGAGATCGAGTCGTTACCATGATGGTTAAACAAACGAGATGACGTGGCTGAAGCGTGGAATAATATATCCCGGTTGTCGAAGTTGATCGATCAGGCCGGCTCGGCCGCAACTACGACTCAGCAAAAGTAACATCGCGTTATCTCCCCGTTCTCCCCTGTTCCTCGTTTCTTGTGCGAGCGAACCTTTTTCGTTTCCATCGTACATTCTCGCGCGGGGTTCCTCCATCCATCTTCATTCCGGGCAACCGGAACAGGGGTTGCGCGCCCGAGAGAACCTTTTATCTTTTCTCGCGTTCCTCGGCCTAATGCCTGCGGATTCGATTGGTAGGCTCAGGGCTCGGGGGTTTATTTACGCCCGTTTTGATTCCTGCGATTCGATGGATCGAGCCAGCTGATAACCCCAGACGTCGAGGATCTCGTCTCGCTCGTTTCGACTCCGATACGAAAAATTGGCTAATCGTAAAAGTACGGAGATTCAGGAGAAAAAGAAACGTTAAGAGAACCATGTGATCGAAGGGCTTTTACTCAATCGGTGTTGGTAGTCGAGAAAGAATTCCAAAGTCGTAGCGATAGTCGCGTTTCGTCGATACGTTAGGCGAAACTGCAGCCATTTGTTCGTAATTTTTCCCGGGAAAATTGTCACGGACGCGAGGACGCGAATCACGTAGCGTGGAAGAAATATATGCGAAAAGAGAGCGTCGAAGATCATTGGACTCGAGAAACCGGAACGCTGGTATGGAGGAACTGGGAAAGTTAGGTCGACGGCGCGAAGACAGAAGGAGACACAACTTTGGAGGATCTTTTCCCAGGTGGAAAACTCGAGACCGATAAGTTTTCACCTAACTCTTTCCTCGATCCGATTCTTCTTCTTTCTTCTACATTTCCTTCTCTACACCGAGTGCGAGAAAAAAAGAATCTCTTCCGAGTATCAAGGAAACGTTTACGAAACAATTTTGACAGGATATGTAGCAAACGTTGAAAAGTTTCGTCCCGAATCGAATTGCGCGGTTCCTTCCGATACTCGTCGTCTACTTCCCGTCGGATTATCGTCATCTCTCGTTGCTCGCAACGACGCAGTCGATTGTCTTTCAACTCGATTTATATACGCGCTCGGCCTTCGGAAGAACCGGTGCAGCTCCGCGTAAAAGAGCTTTGCGTCGCGTCATCGTACCGTAATCCTACTGTACAAAAACGATCATAAAATCGAGATCGTCGAAACACTTTTACGCGGAGCCGCCGGGACGGTCTCGTCGCCGGTCGTGCGACGGACAGCGTGATCGTCGGCAGCGTCGAGTCATCGCGACGAACGACGCCCGAAGCTTTCGGGAAAGAAACGAGCTCTATTATCCCTGGTCTAAACGCAGCTCTCGGGAAGCCTGTTCGCCATTAACCGTCTCTTGATCGCCTCTCCGTCGAGACACTCGCCGGCGACAACGACACCCTGGCCGCTACCCCCGAGCACCACTCCACCGGGTTGGTTGCCGCTGACCACGACACCCTGTCCGCCGCCCACGGTCACGGGCATGCTTTGTAAACTCGGTATCGCGCTGCTCCTCGACGGTAACCTCAGCTCCGTCGGTCTTCCGGCGAATTTGTGGCAGAGCTCGTCTATGCTTGGCGTAGGTCCGGGCGTGACCCAGTGTCCCGGGGGATATCCACCGGGATAGCTCGGCGGGCTGACTTCCACCAGGTTTCCCTCTGCAACATGCACGCAACGTCCGGTCCGAGGACAATTCGTTTGGGAATTTTCTCTCGGGAACGTTATGAAGCGGGACCCGTGACAATTAACCGACCGCGGTTTTTCTACTCCACTCTCCCATCCCTGTTATTTCCATTCGAAACGTTTTTCTCGAGTTAATCTATTATTCATCTTTGCGGGCGAACAAAAAAAGACCACGGGGATTATCGAGAGTACGCGTTCTCAGAATTAAACTTACCGAATTTGTTAGGGATGACATCCGGGTCGGTCTCCACGGTTTGTTGTGGATTTTGCACGGGATACTGCTGCGTCGGAAGTTCGCTGAGCTCTGCCGGCTTCTCGTGCCTGGGCTTCGAGACGCGCTCCCTGCGTACACGCACTACCACAACCATCACGATGAGCACCAAGGTGACCAGCGCGCCCACCACTACCGCTATCAGCGGTGATAACACGATCCCGGCGTCTTGTCCTTGAACACAGAGAAGCATCCATATCCGGTACTGTTAGTCGCAGGATAGACAGAGAAATAGGCAGAGAGCGAGGAGCGATAACGGAGAGAGGGGGACGCAGACGTTTAAACGAGCCGACGTCGACGTAATTAACAAATTCCGCGCGTTCGCGCCGTTTCACTCCGGGGCTCCGATGAAATTTACGAGGTAACTGGGGATTGACAAATGAACAACGGTAATTTATTTAAAATTATCACGGCCATAATTAAACGATGCACGGAGCCGGTAATAATCGCGGCCGATCCCCGTTGCTAGACCAGCAAATAAATCGTAATATATCCATATACACGCATACGTAGATTAATAAACAGGCGACCGCGGGGATGGCGCGATAATAATCATTATGAAACGAGTAGACAAGCTTTTTGGGCGACGGCTGTGCCCGTGCGGACCGACACTTCTCTATAATTACACAACTGCGCAGATTTTACTCTCGTCGCACGCGTCGACGTATCTCCCTAGTCGGTATAAAGCCAGACGTTTTTATCGTAATAATTCGCGCCGGTCGAGGAACGTGCCTCTCTACGATTTCCTCGATAGGAGTGGACGGACACGAGTTCAGCGACGAACTCCAATTATTATCGTATTCTGCGTAGAATCATTTCCTCCGGTTAACAGAGATTTCGGAGTAAGTAATTAAATGGACCGTCCAATTAAGAGTACGTTTTTTAACGCGTCTCAGTGTTTTTTCTCATCGCGCGTACTCAGGCCGAATGCTTTCTCGCATTTGCGCTCCGTTGGAATTCGTCGCGAAGCCGGCGAACGAAGAAGAAACGTAAATTAGAGCGAGGGATTAATCATACTATGTGACACGGCGCCGAGCCAACGACTGGTTTACAGTTCTCCCTGGCTATTTACTATCCCATCTCTTTTTTCTCGCTCAAAAAACTCGGTAAACTGGGAACCCCAGAGGAAACAGACTCCGCAACCGCCTTTACGTGGATTCCGGTTAGATACGGACTCGATTCGGATGTTTGTCCGCTGAAAATTAACGTTTTTCAGCGTTGCAACGTCACGCACTTCGTTATTCGCTGAAGGAATACGTTCGAGTAAATTTGATCGCAGGAAACGTAGAAAGACTAGCGGGCAACGAAACTTGTTTTCCCGGCGCGGGGACTCTTACCAAGCGAGTCACGTTTCTCTTATAGCTGAAGAAATTAGCCGACGAGCGATATCGGTATTCGGAATCGAGGAAACCGGGAGCACGCTGCCACGGTAAATAGGTGGGTTAATGGAGAAAAGAGGTAGCGAGAAATCTTGCCAGGGTAATTCTTGGTTCGCGTTCGCCGGCCGCCGGTTCCTCGCACGTGACGTTTTAGTTTTAGTTGATAGTGGCCGAGCGTGGGAGCATACCTGCTGTTTTCGTCGGATAATTAACAAAACTGTGTTCCTCCACGCCTGGCCAGCTGTGTGCTCCACGGAGTTTTAAGTGGGACAGCACGCCGGCACGCTCGTTAGCCTCCCGTGACGAACGTTTTTAATTCTTAACTCGCTCGACGGTATAATACACCCGTGGCTGTTAGTAGACGTAAACAAATACATGCAAACATAGTTGTTTATTCATTTCCGATTTCCGAATATAGCCATCGAGTCTCGTTCCATTATCAATTTACATTAAGGATGTATAGGCTATATACTTAAACAATGCTAACATGTTGAATTTGTTATTATAGATTCCTATTACTATNGTACATAAATTTTTGGGATTTATTGTATAGCCAATACATCCTTAAGTCGCGCCGTCTTTACTTCTATGTTTCAATTTTTCATGACTGCTCACAAAACACGGCATCGACAATACTCGCTATTTTTTTAAACGCATCACCTAGTACAAAGTTTTTGGACCAGTAAGCAGGAGCTTCGAAAGATCCGCGAGGTATCTCGAGTTTCCGCGACACACCCGCAAAGATTTCGTTGACGATCGCAGACTCTCTTTTCCTCCGGTTGAAAGTTCCACGCGAAACTTTCCGGGCGAGGCTAAAGCTCGAAAGGGTTTTCGCAGCGGCCCGAAATTGAGCGCGAGAAGGAAAATCGTGGTGGAACCAGGCACGACGCAGGTAGCTCTACACGAGCGTTTCGTCGTTTCATATATACGCGTTGTGCATAATACAGGTATATTTATGCATGTAAATAGATTGCGGGGGCGCGTGCGCGAGTACTCGCACACGTTGCTGGAAGGTGTTCGCGTAATGCCTATGAAACCCGGAGTTTAATCAGCTACCCGAGGCGCTCGCACCTTTCCAGACCTAAATAATCTAACGCAGGAACGTTCACGCGTGCCGTTACGCTCGACGTTTGCCTTTCCGTTTGTTTCCCTGATCAAATCGTAGATCCCGCACCGGTGAACGTAGCCGGATTCCCGAACAATTTCTATATAGCGCAGACACGAAGACGCTCGTGAACTCTCTACTTAAATACAAGGCGCAGGGACTCGAATCTCGAAATGGGTCGCAACGATTCAGGTTACTGCGCACTTATCACACGATGCATTCGAAAGTATTGTTGCGTTTTATTGGCGCTGTCGAGGATTCACGAGCGAATCGTATTCGAGGGTGTCGCAGCAGGAATATATGAGCGTCTGAGTGACAGGAAACTGCCTCGCGCAAGTGTAAATGCTCTCGTAAACGCAGCGAACCGCGACGAACGAGTCGAGACAGTTTCGAGAATCAGAACGGATCGTTGTTAAGAAGTATCTCTCTTAACCGCGACCCAATTTCTCGCGTTTTATTCAGCTCGCGCCTCTTCACTTAAATAGCGACGAGCAGCAATTTTTTAATCGTTCGCTCCTCTATCCAACGCGTCATAGAACTCGATCGGATGCGGGAATCGGGATCGTATACCTTCCTAAGCTCCGACAATGTCCCGTAAAAGTTGCAATGGAAGTTTAATCGAGTTGTTCCACGGGAAGAAACGTCTGCCGCCGTCGGTACTAAAGATAAACCGGTCCTCGTACCGTCGATCCTCGAGGATGGTCTAACGAGTCTAACCTAACGGGATTCCCGCGGAGAAACCCGGCGCCGCTAGGAGGAAAATCGCGTATCCCGCCCGGGTTTCCGAACTACCCCGAGTTCATCCAAGTTTGGATCGCTAATCGGTCTTAACGCGGCCGAACGAGCTCGTCCCTCTCGATTCTCTTTACACGGAAAAAATACCGCTCGAACGAACGAGAATTCATTCGAACGGGCAAATAAAAATTCGATTCTTCCGACGTCGTCGAAAGTTTTAGTTACCCGACCTGGCCCTACCGGAGATAAACTTCGAGAAACTTTGTTCCCCCGCGAACTTAAACCGAACTATTCCGATCCGCGCTTTACTTCATCGTCCACTTATTTGAATATCGTTGAAAAACGAACAGCGCGTACGAACGATTTTATTAAGTGGCATAACGCGACGAAAACGATCGAGTTCCCGGCGAAAGGAACGACTCGGAACCGCGCGACGAAGACGTAACCGGTGCGGTGTCACGTGGTCGACTAAGTCGCCAAAAAGCCGGGCTTAGCCGCAGCCAGATCTAACTTCGGCTCACCTGGATTAATTTCAACGTAAAGCTAACCCCGAATCGATGTTGTCCTTCCGGTCTCTCCTAAGGCGACTTACGTGTCCCCGGAGTTCTCTCGGCCCGTTTTCAATTAATGAAACGCTCACGCGAGCGAGTCTAGTCTCTCTTTCGCCTCCGTGACCGATCGCTTTCGACCCGGATTACCAACGGGAAACGCCGACGACGTCGACTCCGCAAATTATTCCATTCCGTTCTCGGCCGCACCAGCTACGTATTAGAAGGATTTCCAACCGCGTATACGGTCCATGATATTAACTCGGATGTATCTCCTCCGAGACGCGATTCATTTCGACCGTAAAAATCCTCCGCCGTCGAGATTCTACGCGCGTACGACCTGTACGAACGAAAGCGAAATCTCGTTCAACGAGAATTTAGATTGGTCGATCGGTAGTCTTTTCGCGGTTAAGCCGCTTCGTTTTCGTTTGGACGACTCGAGAATAGAATCGTTTTGAGCACCGTAACGGAGCCGATCTCTGTCCTTCATCAGGAGCTACGTACGTACGCGATTCTCTGGATGCTAATACGGAACGGTCAAGTAGTCGTGTCGATGGTGGTTTGGTATCCTCTTAATTGCAATCAGCCGTAACAGTCTCGAGAGTTTGTCCCTGATTGTGCTCTCTCTCTCTCTCTCTCTCCCGCATCCTCTTTCCTATTCGCTTCTGTTTCATCGCCCGCGCCCTTTGCGCGTGTACACACGGGAGATTGTACGCCCTCGTGTGCAACAATGGAAAGCCGTGTGTACGTAGGTGAAATCGAGGAGCAATTACCGGCGCAATCTCGCAACCTGAAGAGGATTGGCCCGCGGAGCGTAAAGCAGAGCCGGGGGTTGAAGAACGGAAGGAGAGGGAAAGAGATACGTACGTACGTAATACGCGGAGACGAGGTACATGGGTGCGGGGGAGGAAGGAAAAGGGCGAGGCCAAGGGCGATGTACCGTAGTCCGTGGATCTTGAGAATCTCGTCCATAATAAACGCTTATCGGAGGATTGCCCGATCGCCGGAGTCTCGAAAGGCTTAAGGCCAAGTATCCTAATCTCAATTATCGTACGATCCACCAGGAATGTTACCCACTGTCGATGGAACCCTTTATCTAACGCGACCGATGCCCCTCTCTCCTCTCTAACTACGTCTACTCGATTTCGCTTTAATTCGAATACCCGCGGGCCATCGGTTTCGCCAGAATTATTCTTGCTACCTTCCCACCTTGTCCCGACGATTCCTGCTTCCGGATATATTCCAGTCGTATTCTCGCCCTTCTCAGTTACGCGATACTCTTTCGATACGTCGAATCCGCTTTGCCGATTAAACCTCTGCCGCCAGCAAAAGGGGAGGCGGGGAGGGCAGATGTGCCTTGATAAAATAGTAAGGATTGGAGGTCGAACAAAGGGATGGAACTTGACTCGCGTAAAGATCTCCTCTGAAAAGCACTCGACGGTGTAATCAGGATACGCTTAATTTCGAGACGGTGCTTAGAGACCGGCTTAGAACTCGAGAATGGGCCGTTACGATACTTCCGACAACATTACGCGTTACGAATGGCCGTGTGACCTGGCGGAACCGGGGCGCGACCGGTTCAAACCGTTTGAGGAATTTCCACCGGGCCAAACCGGCGAAATTGTTGGATAACTCGCTGAACCCCCGGTTCATATAAACTCTCGCTACTTACCCTTGGAATATATTACGCCGCGCCGCAGAGAATATTTCTTAAGGACTTAACGGTGCGAGTCGCGCGACGATAATAATCGTTTCCCTTCCTACAGAACTCTGCTTGCCGCGCCGCTTTAATGGAATTTAGAGCGTTCCCGCTTCGTCCCGCCGCTCTCTTCCTCTCACGAGCGTCAAATCACCTTTAAACTGATTACCGTGGAAAAAAATTCATAATTCCGAGCCGGCTAGGGGCGAGTTTCTTTGCCACGCAACGACGAAACCATGAATGGATAGGAAGCAGCGATTCGCTACGCTGCTGCTGACGCCGGTTCCTTTTTAACGATCCATCGATCGGATCCAATCGTGAGCCGGATTTTAAGTTTGAGACACTCTGGAGAACGCGAAACGGAGGTCGAATTTGTGGTTCAGGCACGTACTCGCCAATCAGCACGCGACTGCCTTACCTGTCTCGGCTCGCGACCGTCGAGCTTTCCCAATCTAGGTCGCTTCTCCGTCCCACGAAATTTTCCAGACGATCCAGATTTCCAAGGGTCTCCGTGCTCGTTACGCCATGCCGTAATTACGATAAACTAGAAAGTGCCTTTGTGAGCGTAGCTCCTTCTTTGTTTCTATTTTCTCGAACGCGTACACTCGTTTGAAAAAGCGACGCTTTATACTTTAATCGCGCGAATGCCGAAAATCACGACTGATCGCTCGTGCTCGTTCGTCTCCCGATGTTTCCGATGCTTGTCAGCGTCAGCGTGAATAACGCTCGTCCCGATTCCGATCGTACGCTTAAGTGAATACGCACGCACAGTGGAAAGCTTGACGAGAGAGTGTGTCGGATTCCTCGGAACCAATCGATAGCTACGATGTTTCAGGTGGCCGAAACGGAAACGCGGGCCGGTTTGATCGCCCTTTAATTGACGTAACATACGAGGACAACGGGCTAGATATCGGCGATTCGCAAACGATGATTTACATCTGGGATCGGTTATTACGCAAACCGCCAACGGCACGCGTTAACGCGTCTGACTGTCATCGCCTCGGTGACTGCATACTAAGAATTTTCAAAATCTTAGTTTAATACACGTCGCTATAGTTAACAATGTTAAAATTGTTCGATCAATTTCGTTGGGGGCATCTAAGCTCGGCGAGCGCGCTTCTCAGTTTCTTTGGTCGTCGACTGTCAATCACATCAGACTTTTCGATATTTCTTTCGTTTTTAAGTTAATTCAGTTTCATTGGTTTTGATGGTTTGTTCGTTAGTATAGTTTGAAATATTTTTCGGCTTGCACTCGTACGTGCTCTGTAATTTAATTCTGATTCAGATTATCATTTCGATTTTAATTCTGATTCTTATTCTGATTACGATTACGATTATGATTATGATTATTTACGTTTACGAACTTACAATTAATACTTTGGAAGTCGATCGATACCGCGCACAGCTAACTTCTCGAATTTTACCCGTAATGCGATAGAATAACGAAACTCGTTTGGAACAAAGGGACCGAGTCGCTAGGGGCATGTAGAAATTTTTCGAAACGAAGTACCGTTCAATATCTCGAATGTTTGCACGAGCGATACCCAATCTGTTTGAGTTTGTTCTTTTTCAATTTGCGAAAAATCGGTTATCGTAGGAGTCGCGTACGTCCCACTTTCCGGAACGGCTTCCACCTTGCGAGACCCGTTGCTAGCGCTTCGTGCACAAATTCTTGTCACTCGTTAAATTTAAATACTAAATATGTGGGTTAACGAGGTTTTCGTTCGATCGGATCTGATACTTTTTGAAAATTTCACTTTGCGAGATACGGGCATCTCTTTTTCAAGGTATTCGGAAATGATGTTTGAAATTGCAATTCGATCTCGCGAGACGGGAATACCATTGGAGAAAAAGTGACGTATCGCACGCGTGAGAACAAAACGAATCGACGGAAAAACGCGGAGGGAAAAATAAATAATTCGGAGCAACGGAAAACGCTTGGGACGCCTGACGAGAGGCGGGCCGGAAAGTAGAAAGAAGACGGGACTGGGAAGGGGCGGAGAAGAGAAAAATGACGACGGGGGTAAACAGAGCTAAGTGAAGTTAACGACGGAGCAAGAAGAGCGGCAAAAATGACCCAGGGAAAATTACCGCACGCGAAATGGCTTAATGTCCAAAAAGACGAGCGAACCAGCCACCGAATGGAACGTTGAAGGGGTAAGGGGGAGGACACGCGAGCAAGACGAAGGAAGAGAAGGCGCCGCCGCTTAATGACCACCCTGTACATTCGTATCTCTTCCGGATAGCTTCTTCTCTCCCTTCTTTTCTTATTTTCCTCTTTCCTTCTGCTGGCCCCCGTACCCCTCGTTCTCCCCTCTCTCACGACTTTTGTACAGTTCCGCAGCGGTGGGTGCCGTTGGGACCATTATCTGTAATTGCTTTCCTTAATTCGATGCTCGTTGCTTCGCGCGGCGAATGAGAAAAAATGCTTCCGTCGCGTCGCGCCGAGGGAAAGGGGTTAACTAGCGTTCGGCGCGCGAGGCAACACGGATACCGAAACTTCGCCGACCGATTCAATTAGATTTTTACGTCTCCGGTGCGTCCCGTCTGGCCGCCGTCTTGAAACACGACCGGAGATCGAACAGAACGTAGAGCTACGTCCGAGCCATTTAAATGTCACAAGTTTCTTGGCTAATGTCTTAATTACGGGATAATCGACTTTCGAGAGCCGACTCGTCGTCCGATCGTGCCTCGACTAGCGAAAGCTTAAACGCGGCAAGTAACAAGTAGCCTGCCCCGCCTTCGTCTACCTCCAATCGAAAGATAATCGAGGTAAGTGATGGTCGTTCGTTCTCGAACGTCGCGAGTTGATGTACGAGGAGTCGCCGGCCGGCCGGGCCGGATGCTAGCGCGTGCGAGCGGAGTGAAGCCGAGCTGAGCCGAGAGCAGTTCGCTCGCTCGCTTGCAAATTGATAGACACCGCCGCGACCGTAAATCACTTTACTGACAATTGATTCGGTGCCCTCCGTTTTACCCCGTTTGCGTTGTAAACTCCACGCCACGCTCCGATATTTACGATCGCTCCTGTACACACGCGTGTCACCCAGTGACACACTGCGCCACCGCCGACGACAAATCTTTCGCATTTTTACCTCGTTCTCTTCTTCGCACCCTCGTTTTGTCGATTTCCTCGTCTTTTTTTTTTGTTATTTGTTTTCTGTTCGTTCCGATGATAACTGTTTTTAATGTTTCTCCATCGAAGCTGTCCGACAGCGCTCGACAGGCCGAACGATGATGTATAAACACGCCGTGCTGTCGCGGATGTTATTTACTGTGCTTTTCTAACGACGACAGGGTAATAATAATTTTCAAACTCTCGGGTAGAATCGAGGCCACGTAGCTCTAGCGATTTAGAATCAACCAGAATAAAAATAGGATATAACAGGCTGAGAATCGGAGAGTTCTCGGACTCATTCAACTAGGTTTAGAGCACGACTATAGTCGTTTAGCGGTTTAAGTAGCACGATATAAAAGACAGATTTTTATGAATCTTTATTCTAACTACGGTATTTAACGAGTTTACCATGATTAATATACCCTTTGACAAAATATTGAAAAAATAAAATATTTCTTTCGCAAAATTTCCAATAAAAATTGTAGCTACTGTTATTACCTGCAAAAAAGGTTGTATACAATTTTCTTCTATCTCAAAATACTTGAGGACTAATTGATTAATTTTTTCGTTTGTCGCCAATTACTCTTTAGCGAGTGGAGTAGAAGGAAATTGCATAAGACCTTTTTTGTATCTGACAACTACAGCTACGTACAGAGAGAGAGAGAGATAGAGAGAGAGAGAGAGAAGGACGTAGTCGTAATGGGTGTGGTGCATTCGTCTGGATGTGTTGTCTCGGCGGCGGCTATTCGTCTTGCTTACCGGCCCTGTTCGTTGACACCACCCACCCGGGAACAGCTACCATCCGTTTCCGAAGGCGGCGAGAAACCCGCAGGAGTACCAACCGGGCCGACCTTGCCATCCAGCCGAATATCCCTCCGAAACCTTTGTTAATCTCCCGACAATCGGTGCCGGTCACCGGGCATTGATCAGGGTTCGCCTCCTCTCACACCCTTCTCCTTGAACGCGCTTCTTGTTCGATTAAGCTCACGCGTGACACTCCATTTTTCATTCTGTCACTCCCTGTCCCGTTTCCATTCCCAGACCGGCAACTCTTTTACGAAGTTCACAAGGAAAATAATCTTGCTTTTTCGCGAACCGATAATTACGCGAAATGTGCGATAAAATCGCGTAATGAGTCGTGTGCGATTTTGGTTTTGCCCATGTTTCTATTCAGTCACGTTCGTTCCGATTTTAATCTCATACGCGAACAATTTAATTTCCCTCTCCACGAATGGGAGACACGTAGGTGGTATAGTAAGAATGAGAAAGATGGGAAAACTTACCGGTGCGTTTCTCGGCGTCTCGATAAGTGACCTCGCTGAGAATGACTGGTTGACTTCGTCCCTTAGCGTTGACGGCGTAGACCGCGACGTGCACACCCGCCTCGACGGACGCCTCCAATCCGGCGAGGGAGAAGCTCGGCTCGTCGCCGTTCGAGACGTTGTAGAGAGGCTGGCTGCTCGGCAGGAAATCCACGTCGCCGTGGTACACTTCCAGGATGAATTTTTGTGGGAGACCGCCGTCGTACCCGGGTACGCATTTCACCTCGACGCTGGTATAGGTCTGGTTCGCGAGCGTGCAGTTACGGACCGGAAATGGTTTCCCTGAAACGACAACGTCACCGCGGTTAAACGACACGATTCCGCTCGGTCGACAACCGGGTCGTTAAAATTTTACGAACACCCGCGTCCGCTCGTTCCGCCCTTTCGAATTACCTCTACCCACCTACCAGGTTTTTTTCTCTTCCTCTTATTATTAAAACGCGCGAGCAACTTTGCTATGTTTCGCTCACCGCACTCCTCTGCGGTTCTCGTATCCGCGTACCGGTTCCCTCGCGACACAGTTCGCGGCAAGCGAGTCGGTTATTTCGCGGCTTGGAAAAGGTTGACGTTCTTCCGGAAGTACCGAATATTAAAACGAGTCGGCGCGTGAAATTGCTTCGTAAAGGATTTCAGTCTTGGCCGGTGCCGCTTTAAAGAACGTTACGATTGTACGTACGGTAGTCCTTTGGACTCGCGATAATTCCGCGGTGTTACTTGCCGCGAATCCGAGCTTCCTCGGTATTCATCAAACGGATCGCGGGTCAGCGAGAATAGATTTGCTCGCTCGCACTCGCGCGAGAACGGTTATTATCCTGACTTTAGCCCCGGCGAATCAAAGCAGCTACGAAAATTATTTCCTCCCCTATTTCTCGTCGACGGTACTCGCCAATGCCTGGCATCAGTGTCTCGTGCGACTTTCGAAAGAAATTTCCGGCCTCGCTATCCATTCCTGTCTCATCCTCGGTTTCTTTTGTTACCGCCTCGGTGGCCCCTCGTTTGTCGCCCTTTGTCCGGTAATATTTTCTGGATACTCTGTACGCTCGAAGGGACCGCTCCACAGGTTGGCTGCGAGGCGAGAGAACATCGCGGTTCGGAGCTCTCTCGGAAATCAAGACCCCGCCTCGAGTGAAAAATGTTTGCGCGTCTACGAGTGGCAAAGATTTAGTGTACCGGGACAGGAACGGTCACAGAAACGTCCCTGTTCCCTTTTTCTTCCCATCCCCCGTCCACCGACGACGACACGCACGTTGATGCAGTTTGCGTTCTACGAAAATTCTTTTCAACCCCCCCCCGACGCGATGTCAGTCAAAGCGTGAGCCGTGATTCCCTCGCGCTACATCGAACAGCCCAACGCTCCTCTGTTTTCCTTTCCTCCCGTTTTTCTTTACATTTTACTCTTTGTTCGTTTTCCTCAGTCTTAGGTCGCGTTCTAAATAAAATTTCGCGTTCCTTAAACAGAGAGCGAATCCGAGGCGAAAATAAATATTGTTCGTCGTTCTCCGAGTTGTCGGGTGAACACGGATGGGGGAAACGAAATCTCTTCGACTCGACTCTGTTTCGCCTTTGCATATTCCTTTTTCCTCTCTCGTTTCGCTGCCGTTCTTTGCTCCCCGTCCGCAAACTGCTGCTTGTTCGCGGATCCCACCGCTGGAATAGACTCGAGACGCGTAGTACTCGCTAGACCGTTTTATTGGGACACAAGACGTGTTTGCTCGCGTACGACTCGACGCGTTATCAGTTTGGACAGTCTCATTCCTCGATGCCGTCGAAATTTATTTTGATCCTAACGGATGATTTAATCCCTCTTGATTTCCACTTATATCGAATATCGAGAAAATGGAAACGTGGGAATCGGCAGCGAACAGTTTTTCACAACTAAGACAGGTTACGAACAGGTACGAAGCTGTTTTCAGCCGCGGTGCGGCGGGAGTTGGTTATTTAATCTACATCGGCCCGAGGCGAGGTAATGACGTTCGCGCGTCAACGATTCTTTTATTTCGCTTTTTAAAATCGACCTACGTCCGCCGCTCGCTGGAAATTCCCTGGAAAATAGTTTTTTACCCCGAACTGGGTACAAGCCAGCGTAGCGTTGGCGAACAATATTCGAAACCCGGTCGAATAACAAGCTTAACTTTCTTTGGTCCACGTTTCCCGAACCAGCGTGGGATCTCTTTTTCCCTCTTTCCCCTTTCCGCCCTTCTGGGAACCGCGAAATACCTTTTCCCAGAGCACGCAATATCCAATACCGCTAGTAACGACAGATTTGAAAATAATTTCGTTCCGTTGAGAGTCACTTTACGGGTCGCCGACGATGAAAGAGACCTAAAGGTTTCGTTACGACAGCCACTACCGGAACTCGATGGACCGATCGACTAGTCTCGATTCCTCATGATACCCTCTATGCACTTTGTATCCACGCAGTGATTTCAGCACACAGCACACGGTCACTTCTATCTTCTGGTATAATGTCCTATCTGCTTAGCTGGAAATGTGTCTTTGACTGGGAGTCCTTTATATTCACTGTAATCCTCTTCGGGATGAAATTCGCAATATCGAATTTCCGTATTAATCGTAACTTAATTATCATGCAGGTATCATGCGAGTTGCGACTGATATTGCATTGACGAAAGAACGTTCAATAATCTGTGACAGGGAGTCGATACATCGCGATGGTTCGTTCGATATCCTCTCCGTCAATAAACTTTGTGGTCGACCCTCTTGCTGTCCGCAATTTTTTTTATAGAATTACAAAATGGAAAATAATCGAGCGACAGGGAGCGAACCGGGACGAGAAAATAAGCGCGATCGGCGCGATGAAAAGGAGGAACAGGATGTCGATTTGGCGCGCGCGTATTCGTCAACGTCAATACGGTTTCGGCAGGTCGTCGCGTCAACGTCATTCTCGATCATACACGGAAAAAAAGACATCGGAGGCGAGAGGGCCAGGCCAGATCAGCGAGAAGCGATGCGATGCGATGCGAAGCGAAAATCCGCGAGCGGATTAACGTCGGTTTACCGCTCGATGATTGGTCGCGTCGTATTGTGCGCGAGGCGATAATTCCCGAATATCTGTCAGAATTTTCGACCTCTCCGTCCCTCCCCTGTCTATCGCACCCTCGAAAATCGAAAATATTTTCGAAGCAACCCTTCCGTTGAATTTTCGTACGACGCGAACCGCTCTTTCGTTCGATTATTAAATTTAATATCCCCGGGCGGAACGAAGGGTCAACACGATCGTCGATTGTTTTCGGCTTATTAATCGACGATTATTAATTAATTTCATTTGCTCTCGAGCATCGCGCGTCGAATGCATAAAGATAAATATGTTTGCTCGTTGCCAAGCTTTGCCGTATTAACGCGCATCCCAGGAAAATTCCTCTCCGGGCGTTACATCTTTCCGTTAATTAATCGATTACATCGATGAATTTATACCAGGGAACGGGACGGTCTTCAGCCCCAAGCCAATTAATATCGATTTCGTTAATGCGTTTTTAATCGAATGCTTCTCGCGCAAAGATGTGCACGTGTACACGCTGGTACAGAGTACGGGCTGTACCTGATAACGTACGATCCATGGTGAATAAGTAATGGGCGGTTGCGTAAAAAAAGTGAGCGCGCGGAGTCGATTGGGAGTCGGGACGGGACAGGGATGGGATGGGAGGAGTGGAGGTTGATTAACGATCGCTTTCCAACTAATTGGAAGGATCTTTAGAGGTGGAACAATCTTGGTCTCGAAAGGGTAAATAATTGAGGCGTTAATAGTCCCAGTGGTTTGGTGCGATCCCAGGGGTAGTAAGAATGCGCCGCTCTTTGAATAATTTACGCACCCACCCTGAGCTCGAGTTCCGAGACTTCCCAGCTCCTCGTACCATGCCCGTGTACAATTTGTTCGTCTCGATTCCCGTAGCTGAATTTCAATAAAAAAAAGTATTCGGAAGCGGTAGACAAAATATTTTCCGGACAGTTTGTTCGTCAAAGCGCTTCATTTGTACGATTTCACGCACGGTGACGCGGGAAGTTGTAGCCGAGTGGACCGCGGGCGTTCGTAGAAAGGATTTTAACTCGATTTCCCGAAGACTCGGTCGGTCGGGGATCCCGGACTAGGCTACTTTAGGGATCCCGATGTAACGTTTACCGAGAATCCGGTAAATACTCACCGGCGGCCACCAGCTGGAAGAGACACGGCCTCGCTTGTGTACCGACGAAATTGTCTGCCCAGCACGACAGAGTACCGTAATCCAGCTCGGTGTTCGGCGTGTACCTGAGCACGCTCACGCCGCTCGACTTCTCCATCGAGAATCTGCCCGGCGCCACCTCGAGCGTCTCGCCGCTGTTGTTGAATTTCCATCGGAAATTGTGCGCTGGCGGATCTGCTTCCACTCTGCACGCGATGTCCAGCGACTCGCCCCTAGACGCTCCGACCACCACGATCCGATCCTCCTTGCACACTGGTGCGACTGAAAAATAAATTACAACATCCACGCTTTTCCTCTCATTCGTTTATAAAGTTAACGCGTACGACTCGACGTCTACTAATTTTCATTTCAAACGTGTGGAATGAAAACGGAAAGAACGAGGACAATGGTATGAAGATAGAAATGACTCCTCGGTGAAGGGACGACGAGGCGGAGGACCGTTTATTCATGTTTTCACCCCGGAAAATTGTCCTTGCGTAGCTCGCAGTTTTGTCACGGGGGAGCTTCTGCAACGGATGAAAATCGTTTCACGACTGATGCAAAAAGATTTTCCACCTACAAAACTGGTTCCCCTCCCTCCTCCGCGCGGGAGTCATCTCGTTGGCGATATACATTTCTCCCAATTTATCTGCCTTCCCTATTTCCGTCCGTGTTCGTCTCCCCTTTCGCCTCGTCGCGTCCGTGCAAGAGAGACAAATAGGTGGACGTATCTTATCGCCGTAAACGTAAAGGAAAAGTCGCGGCCCTTTTTCTAAAAGTTCCCTCGAAACTTGGGAATTAATATCGTCGCGATAGCGACACAACTTAACCGCTTGCGCCAAAAATTCTTAAAATTTTCAGAGACGATACACAGGCTTGACAGATTACTTTCTACTGCTGTACACTGTGACGATTAACGCGTCGAAACTTGGATCGAAATTGATTTAAATCCCGACAGAAGGGCGACCTCATTTCGGTGGCGAACGTGAATAGCCTAAAGCAAATGTCATTCCCAGGGTTGGCGTGCCGGCGACGATGTAATAACCGAGAAACTAAATTCGAGGATACGAGGTTGACTTCGATTCGTGAACTCCCACGAGATTGCTGGTTATCCCGGCTCGTTTCCTTACCCCTTTACGAGCTCGTCAACGACCCCGTCGCTGTTTAACGTCGAGGATCGCGTCTAGATTCTCACGGTCAGTGTTCTCGACCGGCACATCGTCGGTCGTCGCTTTTTACTATCGCGAACTATGACTTAAGCGGCTGAAATCACCGGGTAAACGGTGTTTCGCGTGCGAAACGTTGAAAATCATTTCAATTCGCGGCCGTATCTCTCGTTCTCATCGCGAAATGTACAGTCTCGACCGATTTTTAACCCGGTAAGATGATAGAATGGATCACATAAATTTTCAAACAATTACACTGGTACGATTCGAGGGAGGGTTGTAAGTCGCGGATATCCGTGCAACGCGAGTGTTGAAAAAAAATGACACTCGTCTTTTAAATCCGGGATATTCAATTTGAGTACCACGCGATATTCCTGAGACGGACGAGGACAGGAGGGGAAATCCTCGAGGCCGCAGAGCAGTTTGCTTGACGTAACCCGGGAATTGGATATCAAAAATGTAGCTAGAACTAAGTACGGCTGAAATATTCAGGCACGGAGCGGAGAGTGAGAGAAAGAGAGAGAGAGAAGGAAGGAGAGAGGAAAATGTTCTCTGGCTCGGTTTTGGAATAAATAGAGGAAGCAAGGGAGCGCGTGGATGGTGTCAGCGCGAAACGGTTCGTTGCTCGTCGTTGAATACGTCGCAACGCCGCCAGAGAAGGGCAGCATCGCGAAACCGAGGCGGCTCCGTTGCCCCTCGTCGAGTGCACATGGAAAATCCTCGATTAAGGCCGCTCGATTAAGATAAAGTACCCGAGTCTCGTCCTGAGGGTGGATGATATCGTTGTTGGAGAGCCGAGTATACGCTCTCTCGCTCTCGTCGAGATACTTACACTTGACGCGAAAATGAAGAGGTTCGCTCCGCGTTTCGTTCAGGTCATTCGTTGCGGCGCACACGTACTTCCCGGCGCTACTCCTCGTCACGCTTTGAAGCACCAAGCTCTGATTCGACCAGATTATCCTTGCAGATGTGTTGTGCGCCAATATCTGGTTCTGCAAAACGACAATTTCTATCCTTAAACCAAAGCAGGAACGAAGTCTTTAAGTGACGCACGATATCGTCACAAGTTTTCGTCTACTAGTAATTTAATTATAAGAATGCGAGTACTTTCAGTTGCATATGAAAGGTAGAAACGACGCCGGTTTTTCCCCGAAAGATATTTCTTCCGTTTTAAAGGAGAAAACATGTTTCTTGGAGAACGATTTAGATTACCTCTAAATGCAAGATTTCGAATCACGATTCCGTTTCTAGTTACGATTACGATCCGAGCCCGGCGCTAAATTAGAGATAAACATGGACCAATGGCGAGTCTCTGCGGTGCGTCGCGCGTCGTTATCGCGTATCAGCACATTTTTCCAAGCCGGCGGACAAATTACGTTCGCGAGTAGAGGAAATAAGCCGAGCGCATTATTCGTTTCGAAGTATTACTACTATCAGCTTTCATTTTTCTTTACCGTGGAGTCCAGATATTAGAGGCGGTGGGTGTCGAGAGAATCATCGCTTCCGGTTTCCGTCGAGCGGACAACGGATAGATTCTTTATTATTGCGAGCACGTTATCTCGGAACGAAAGAGAAACCCGTGGAAGGAGGAGGTCGATAACTTTTACGATCGAGAGAACGTTGCGCTGCCCGTCTTTATTACAAATTTATCCGTTCCGACGTTGCGCGATGGCGCGGAGAGGAAAAATGAAAAGGCGAGGAAAAGCAGGAACACGACCGGAGAAAGAAAATCGAGGTCGCGGACTAGAACGCGTTTCTTTGTTAGTTAACGCCTTACGTTCCTTCGCGACGGCATAGGTCCGCCCATTGCCCGATATCGTACAACGGGTAATAACGGTATTTTTTATTACCTCAAACCTCTTTGACTCGGAGTATTTCTTTGTGGAGATTGACAAGGAGAGCGACGGCTTATCAGAGTCGGTCGCATAGTTAACGACGATACGGAACGCCGTGCACTTAGTTGTTTAATCAGACCGGATGAAAAGAGCGCTAGTTTCGTTATCTTTTGTACCGTTCCTCTCCTCTTTTGTCCCGACTAACGAGAAGACAAAAACGAATGCGTTTGATTCAAGAATTCCAGCTTCCCGTTGGAAAATTAACATGACGACGGAGCAGCCAGCCCGAGGAAAAAAGCCCGACGCCTAGTCTCATCGTTGAGGGCGGAAACGAGAATGAGAACGAACGAGGACACTCGCGTCGTCTTCGGCCGGGCGGCCACGTAGATACATACAACGTCCTACCTAGTCGCGTACATGAAACGAGCTGCGAATCCCTTTCGATTAGATTAGCCAGCGAAAGAATTCGCAGGAGTTTCGCCACGGCCTCGGGTAGCGTTTCAATTAGTCGATCGTGAGAAGAACACGGACAATGCCAACAAGTAGCGACTTTGTTAGAACTTGCTGTAGGATCTTGCCAAATGCAGCTGTGCGCATCTGTTCAATCTGATCGAGAGACATCTTTCAAGTTTGCTTCTTCTTTTTCTTCTTCACCTCCGTTTTCCTCCATTACATCGACAGATCCTTCTCTCTCTCTCTCTCTCTCTCATTCGTCCCCGCTTCGACGGAATTCGTTCGCCGAAGATAATTCGAAATCGATTCGAAACGAGGCCATTTGAATCTCGAAGGAAGGCGGCGCGGACGCGAACAGGACGGATCAAGATTTTCTTTTCTGCTTTCGCGCAAATCTATTTCCTCATCACACGGGAACTCGTCTCTCCGGCTTTGTTCGATTGTTTTATAATCTCGGTTCACGGAAGGACTCTCTTCCTTCGGGGATTGGCTCTCGTTGGTTAGATATTGCTCCCATAACGGGCCGAACGCTTAATTACGTTCAGACGGTTCGAGACACGTATCCATGGACGTCGACTTAAGCCCATAGACTTGCCTCTATCCTCGGATTCCACTGTATCCAGAGATTCAACTACTCGATCCACGGACAAATTAAAAACACAGACGCGAAGAACTTGCCGGTTCGATTGGAAAAATCTAAGTGATCCGAATCCACGCTCAAGTTTTAAGTAGTACGAGTCAACGTGACTGTGGTCGTCAATTTTTCCACGTTGCATCACGAATTTCTATTTACCAACGATGGGCGATAGGTCGAGGAAATTGGTTGGCCCGCGGGATTTCCGATCAATACATCCATAACGATGTCGGTAGGATCTCTCTTTGAACAAGCAGCTGTGCAGTTTAATGTTTCCATTCGAGTCGCCGGAAGCCGCGCGCTTCGAGCCATTTTCTCCTCTAACCAGGACTCCCACGCCTCGGCAACGGACCTTTCGACGTTTCCTCCCATCGTGTGGCTTTCTCTCGTCGACGTCCCGGCGCGGCAGGACGATATCTATTCCGTGTAGTCAGCCGGTTCAGCACTCCAGAGCTTTCGTTTGTCTTTTATCGTGAACGAACCAATTCCGGCAAAAGGTTCCCCTGTTCCACCTTGGTTCTTGTTTCGCTATTTGTCGTGCACGCTGTCCTGAACTGTTCCGATTCTTTATAATTACGTCCGATACCGATACGACCCGGGGAGAAAAATTGCTGGGCAAATTCAAGGGAAACAAATCGCGGATAGGCAAAAGTGCAATAACGACGGACGATCGGTCGTCGTCTTAGCTCGTTCCCAGAGACAGCATACATAATGAGTCCGTAAACGCGAGAACGTTAATTAGAACCTCGAGTCTTAAGGATCGCGTCGTCCCAGGCTCTGGTTCGTTGTTATTAATTCGATTTTCCTGCACGGTTTCGCCCGTTAAGCGAGTTTCGGTCCTTTGATCGTCTTTGTCGCACCATGCCGCGTCGCTGAGATTAGCCCGCGCGGAACATTTTCCTTCTGCTAATCAGGTTTCGTCGGAGTAAACGGAGGGATCGACCAACTTTGTCATTAAATCTATTCTCCCCAGTCGCGTGCCCTTTCAAACTCCATCCATTGCCTTAGCAGTCTAACCGGTTTAACCCTTTTCTCGCACCCAGCTAAGGTGTTTTTGTGATCGATGAATTTCAAGTAAGTTTCGCTAATTGTAAGTCCAGTTTTCGAGGAATGATTTGAAAATATTTCACACGCGTCGAATAGGAATTTGAGAAAGCTCGTTAACGCTATCGATATTACTCGGAGTCGAAGGGTCTCGTCCCGGCCGAGGGGTAAAACTTTCCGTTTGAAACTGACAAGAGCCGAGAGACGGGTAGTAGCTAGGTAAGTGCGCGGTTTTATGCAACGGGTCTCTGCCGACCCGCAAGGAAGAAGGCAGTTGGAACGAAGCCCAAAAGCCCGGGAGCTTCATTTTGAGAATATTCGGAATCCGGAATAAGGGGTGGAATTACTCGTAGCACGTGGTACATACAACCGTCCGCGGTACAATGGCCCGAACGCCATTGTCTCTCGCACATCGCCGTTACATAAAGTAGGTGTTAACCGTCCCTTCGTATACGCGTCTCCCCCAACGTATCGTACACGCACCCCTCCGAGGTTACCTCATGGGACCATGGGGAATGGACCTACTATTTCAGAATATATCGAGACGAAGATGATTTCTGTTTAGCCTCGAGTAGGAGGAACGAGGAGAGGAGGAAAGAAAGCACGAGTCGTTGGCAATTTCTCAAGAAACCAGCGTGCTTTTCTTTTCTATCCCGTACCCACTTGACCGGCTTTTTTTCCCTTTCTCGGTATAAGAAAGCTCGAGTCGCGATCGACTCTTGAATTCTCACTGGAGGATACCAGATTCGGATACCACGAAAACTGGGGAATCCTTTCGAGAAGAAATTCGATGAATCTTTTCAGATAAGTCGAAGTCGACCTCGAAGAGATCGAGATTGAACGAGCGGTTTGGATATTCGAAAGATTTTGCGCCCGACGAGGATTTGGTCACTGCGCTGGTTCACCTCGAAGGAATTCTTCGTAACCTACTACTCAGTTCAGTTTTATTCTTTCCCGGCTTAACAACGCAGAGGAAGACAACATCGAATGACTGACTAGATATACGAGTAGACTTATCAACCAATATATTCGCCTGCCTCTCGTCTTCTGAGACTTTAATGCCTTATTACGATTTCCATGTCCCTTAAGACGTTATCAACAGATTATGGAAAGCAGTCCTAGAATTCATTACAGTAGATTTTTATTCCATGATTCTTGACTAATCCTGGGTGTGGGGTATTGAGATCGGGGGTCACGCACGGCTCGATCTCCGCGAAGTTCGAGATTTATTCGACGACGCGTTGCGACAATTGATATTTGCTCCGTTCGATTCTGGCGAAAACTGTAGCGAAAAGAAACATCGGGAAGGGAGTCGAAGAAAGGGTAGGGAAGTAGAGCAGTCGGTGAAAGCGATTACGCGTTTAAACTTTTTCGCGGCGTTAAAGGGAGCCATTATCGTGGACGTGGATCGTTTTCCAGAAAGGGAGAGCAACCGAGAGAAAGGTGTTCTCCTCTCGGAACAGTTGTATTTTCACGAATCGCTCTGTACACGTACTAATGTGTCGGGGAGCAGCGAGCAGTACTCGAGACTCGCCCGGAGAGAAGAAGCCGAGAGAGCGAAGGTTTAAAGAGTCGAGCTGGCTTGTATGCCGGTCGAATAGGTTGCAGCGCTTCCGGTCTACGTTTCGCCTTTCTATCCCTCTCTCTAATTCATCGGCTTTCTCTCTTCTCTTCGCTTTAAAGCCGGCAGGACGTGTCGCAGACGCGTTGCGACGCCGATAAAATGAAATTTATCTTCTCCACCCGTTCCGTTCTATCCCGTTCCGCGTCCCCTTGGCGAGAAAAATATTTTAATCCCGTGTATGTTCCGTTTCTATAATGTTTTTCCACGTTATACGTAGTCTTTACGGACCATGCTGTATTAAAATAAAACGACCTCGTCTCTATGTATGTCACGAATCGCTTAAATAAAACTATCTTCCTTTTCCTCGATTTTCTCACGAGTACAATTTGGCCCGAGACAACACAACCTCGTTCGATTCGGTCGACGAAAAGAAATAGTCCTGATCCCTGGTAGCAACACCCTCGCGTGAGATTTGTGGCCGGGATTTCGTGGCTCGTCGCGCGCGGATCGTCCGCGAAATTTATCATCGCGATTATATCGGCGAGTATCGCCGTGGCATTTTGCGTGGAAAAATTGTTTCGCTGCCAGCGTTCGTTCCTCTTCACCTCTTTCCTCTTGTCTGAGGACGATTTATCACTGGCAGGAGGATGATCGCGTGCAGCCCCGTGCTTCATTAACTTCGAACCACCTCGGTATTCCATGCTAATTTTTCCTCTCGTTCGGTTTCTTACGAAGTAGCCGTTTCGTCCATCGACGGTCAATGATAATGCATCGAAACGCGAGGAAAAAAAGAGGCCCGGATATCTGCGCTGCCGCTTTTCCACTGGGTTCTCAGACGTGCATCTCCTTCCTCGTTTCTCTCACAGTTTAGACGCGGGACGTCGCACTGCGTTCTCATATAAACGCCGTAAACCCGTTCCGCACGGGGTAGAAAAAGTTTTCCTCGTTATCTTTGATTACGTTTTCGATTCTTCTTCGTATCACGGAGCTCGGCTAGGAACTTGCCGGTACCTTTAGAATTTTCCAAGTTGTCCAAGGAAATTTTGTGATTCAGTAGTTTGTTCGACGTCTCTTTGATTCTCCGCGCAGTTTCCAAGAGTTTCGCGTATACTACGTTCGCGCGAGTAACGAAGGACGAACTTGTTGCGCGGGAGAAGAGGGAAAGAATTCCGGTTGACCGTAAGACCGATATCCGATTCAATTCCAGTCTTATCTAGGAGGAAAACGCTGGGTCGATATCCGAAGGGGGGGAAAAAAACAGAAAAGGGGGAACGTTCTTTCTTCTCGCGTGCGAAGAACCGGTGACTTTTGGCTGAATTCCGATTCGACTTCGATCGCGACGTGTCGTCGGTGAAATTGATTGATATACGGGCTCCATCGAGTCGGACGGCCCAACCCCGCGCACGATTCCTTCCAGTCAACTTCTCTGGCGCATTAAGTCCCGGACTCGGATTGAATCTCGCAGGAGGGAAATGCACTCGACCGATTCATTGCTAGAATGCCGTGTCTCGTTCCCCCTTTCCCGCTTCCCCCGGAACCGATCGGTGTACAGGAGCAATAACGTGGATTTGGAAATCAAATAACGGTGCGACCGTTCGGAATTTAAAGTATCGCTCCTCTCCTCTCACGCGTTTCTCCCGTTGATATCGTTAACCCGACGCCAGTCTCCTTACGTGATTTCGCGAGCCTTGCCGAAAATTAACTTCGATGACGGTCGCCGGTGACGAGCTTGGAAGCTGTTCGCGTCGAACAATTGGAAATTCTCAGAGGAACCATCGGAACTGACTTTCCATTCGTCGATATAAAGATTAGCTACGGGCAATGGGGAAATGCTCGAGACGGAGTATTTAGAGGACGATATTGAAAGTGCTCTTCTGGTTGTCCACTCGGCCGGGAGGGATGAAGAGTCGGGAAATTCTTTCGGCGTCTCACGGCTGATTGGCTCGTCGATACTCGGAACGTTTCCATTGTCCCATAGAATGGAACGGCCCACCCTAATCACTGTACCTCATTATAGCGGTTATCTCTACCTTCCTCTCCCTTTGCACCTCCCATCACGAGCCACTCCAAGGGATCCATAGACTCTTTCCTTATTGGTGTCTCTTCGTCTCACCAGCTCGTCTTTACGATCGCCATTCAAAAGTTTATTGCCTCGGGCGCGATGGGATGGAGCGTTTTTTTCTTACACCGACAGTTTGGAATAGCATGAATTGCTACCTTGGGATTGATTGGCAGATCGAACACGCCGATAGCCTGCCCTTAATTTCTAGGCAAGGGCCGCCTAATCGAGGAAAGAGGATTGCCTAACCATTCCAATTTTCCTAGGGTTATCTTTGACCGAACACGATTATGATTTTAATCCGAGAGACGCGAGAAGACCGTATTACCCGGTAGAATATCCGAGCAGACGGGAGCGAAATCGGTTTGACTAGCAAAGCTGGAATAATAAGGGCTATCTGACCGGATGAAATGTATGGATCCTAAGCGACTATTCGCAGGTGATTCGCGATGATAGAGGATGATCCGTAAACGGTGGGAAAAGATTCCGAGAGAAAAGATTTTGTGGGAAGTAAAGAAGAAGACGAGCACGCTGCCGGGGAAACTCGGAGGGTTACGGTAGTCGACTCCGGTCGACTAAAATGAACTCGGATCATATTTTTAAGATGCAATTTCGACGGAAATCTCTTACGGAGCAGCAGCTGCTACACCGTAAGGGATTCGCCGTTAACCCGTCTCCTAACCGGCGCGGGGCGCCGTTCCTCTTGAACTACGACGCGTATCCACCCGAAAGAATCCCAAAACTAAAAGAACGACCCGTGTTTCTCGGCGTGTATCGGGATACGACTGAGATCAACGCGAACGAGATAAAACGTAACCAGGCGTTTCTCGGTCATTCCTGCGCGCGTCAGATAAACTATATTAAGTATACGAGGGTGAGATCTCGCTGTTGTCGCGATTCGCGATACATCCCGGACCGCTTCCTACTTTGGTTACGGTAGATATGTACATCCCGTGAACTTCGACTCTCCGTGTTCTCCGAACGAGTTTCAAAACTAGAGATAAGCCCTTGTACACGTCCCAGATTAAACGTTCTCCCCAGCGAAATCGAAGCTGAATCCCTTGAAAAGTTTCGTCTGTTTCTCATCTCTGCGATAGACGCGCGGAATTCTCTACCTCGGAGACCGGAATCGCGGGAGATAACGAAAAACTTGTCGCAATTACACCGACCGCGAGTGTAGCTGCTCGGTAAAAATTGCTGGGAAAAGCTTGCGCCGCGCGCGGTCAACAAGGAAGCAAAGGAAATTCTATTATGTTCGCCGAGCTCGTTTCGTCTCTCGGAAAGTAGCGAGAAGAAATTTGAAAAACTTGTAGTTCGGGTTAACAAATGTAATTTCGTCGCGGCGGTGGCGGCGGGAAAGAAGGGAGGCACGGAAAGTCTTTTATCGTCCCCGACCATAAATCCGCGAAATGATCGGCTTTCAGCGTGTTTCGCGGCGCCGCTTCAACTTCCACGACGCTTTACTCGAATGGCAGTGGATCGCGCCCGTCGAACGATCCCATATATTATACAAATAAAGGATTCGAAGTTTCACTCGGGGCCTTCCATACACCCACACGAGCCATTGTTATAGTATAAAACTCCATTGCAATAATTTGTGGGGAGGCGCCGCTCGGAACCGCGATATCGGTCATAAAATATTAATCACTACCAAATGCGATTATTTAATTGTATCACGGTGATACATTAATTGTATAATTAATCGTGAATGATCGATGAGCCGTGAAATCGACGAGAGGATAATAGATAACTGTACGTACGTCGTGTATCCACGTCAACTTCGACCAGGGAGGATTGGCCCTGATGTGGCACTCGAAGTAGACGTCGTCACCCTCCTTGATGTCCTCGGGACTCAGCGTGGATCCAAGGTTCAGCGATACGATCGGTGGATCTGCAATCAGATATATCAATCGCGAATGATTTTATACGTGACGATAAGAGAGACTGTTTTTTCTCGCAGGGAGAGAAACGAGGGTTTGTGCGTTTATCGCGACATTGGCCTGACCCCTCGTACAATTTCATCAACCTTAAGCCGCGGTCGTCGGTGTCGTATCCGATGGGAAGGCATTTTTATTCCGTAGGTAAGTACGCACGAGTATCCTTGTTTCTTCTTCAACGATACGGAATTATCTTAATCCGAAATACTTGCCACGTTCGCTAACCGCGCGGAGAGTAAACTTCCCAGGTGAATTACAGAGAGAGGAAAAAACCTCACCAGTTCCCGCGCATGGTTATTCTTACAAACTTTTCTTGTATTCTTTTCTCCGGAGCGCGCGGAGACGGGGGCGGGGAGCGAAGGAGGCGGTCTCCGTCTCATTACAATTGTCTTGGTGTACCGACCTCTCGACGGCGCGGCAGGAGAAAGAGTACAGTCTCTCGCGCTTTGCCAGACGATTTTTCGGGTTCCCGCTGCATCCCCGAAGAGTTCCGGTATTTTCTTCGCCTGCTTGTATCTCTCGTTTACCGTCTTCATTAGTTTAATCATACCGGCCCCTCGTCTCTTAGCCCGTTTCCTCCGCCGGCGAGTTTATTCTTCGGGCGTTCTCGCAGGATTTTATCGCGCGGCACGATAAATTCCCTTCCATCCCTCGTTACCCCACGCCCCTTTTCCCGTATACACCATTCTTTCGAGAGATAGTATTAATTAGCTAGATCGCGTCTGCTGCTCTTCCTTCGGAGACCTTCAGCGGCTCAACGCCATCGCGCCACCGCTTTTTAACCCCCGAAACGCCCCTTGTTTTTCGTCCCTGTTCTACGAATCGGGCAATAAATGCCCGCCCCTCCGTGCAACATCCCTTTTCATTTTGTTCCTCGTTGCTCGCGAATCAAGAGATCGCGCGTATATGGACGGGAAACGAAGGCATCGAGGAAAAAGGACGCGAGAGGGAGGAAAAAGGAACTCTCCTAAGTCGGGGCGATGCGTAATCTCGTGCCCTCGGTCCGATGGTCAACGTAATTGGATACCCGACGTGACGTCATTTCGACGATCGTCGTCGTCTTCTCTTCTGCTCTTCTCTACCTCGCAGAGGCGAAACAATGTTCGGTCGACGTTCCCGAACGAAAGTACCAAGTTTCTTCGAATACTCGATCGTAAAAAAGTTGCGCCGGAGTTCGGACAGCTTCGTACCGATTGAAAAATGTTTAAGGGCCTCGAGAATCTTAACAAGATCTTAACGAGCGTGAAACCGTAAAGCTCCCGAAGCGAATTGAAATCTCCTTGGTAACCCGGCACGTCCGAGTTCGATCTTGCATTCCGAGAGGAATTTAAGATTTCGGTAATTAATTCGATGGACACATCGTGCGATTGACAAAGAGAAATCCCCGGGAAAGAAGATGAATTCATGGACCGGAACGGTATCTTCGTTTATGAGCTGTCCATGCCTATATCGCGGATCGTCGGTCGGGTCGGGTACATATATCTTTTTTTCACCCGTTTACGATCAACCAGATCGGCGATCGGTTCCGCTGAATTTCGGCTGTAATTCGTTGGAAATCCAGCGGAGGCCGTTTTATCGTGGCAATAAAAATAGGCGGGGTGCGCGGTCGACGTAAAAAAGGCTCGTAAATCGGCCGATTTCATGACGCGGCCTCGATAGAGCGCGGAGATGAGAGCAAGGGGATACGGTTGCGGTGCTTTATTTTTTTACGACGTTCGCGAGGCGCGTATGCATACATTAAGGCGAGGAAACGAGCCCGTAAGAAGATTCCGCGTGGCTAGAATCATCGAATATGCATTTAACGTCGCGTAACGCTCAACGCTCGTAAAAGATCCGGGGGACCGGCGAGAGGAATCGAATTCGGGATCGGAATCTTCTTCTCCCGTTCCCTCCGCGCGAAAAGAGCAATAGAATATATATTTATCGTGTACTTACATACGACGTTGATTTTCCACGATTTCTCCACGAAGAGTCCCGTCACGTTCGGGTTCTCGGCCCTGCAGGTGATCGATTTCCCGTGGTCCTCCACCCCCGGCTCGAACTCCACCATGCTCACCGTCCGATTCTCCGACCTCTCCTCCTGCGTGACAGATCGTTTCCAACTTATACTCGCGCGTCGTGTATAATACATTTCTCGACGTTTCGTCGCGAACGATGGATACTATCTTTTCCCTTCCATATTTCATCTCTTTGCGCCGTTGCCACTGCTCCGAAGGCAACGATCTTCTCGCAGGGTACTACGAATTTCGTTTGAAGTCGCGCGAGTTCAATTCGTAGGGCGCGAGGCAGGGTGAAGAACGAAAAGAAAAAAAGCGGGAGAGCAAAAGGGAAGAGGAGAAGAAAATGGGAAACGAGTTCGACGGCGACTCGGTATGGTTAATTTTGGTTATATTAAGGTCGAGAGGCGGACCGTAAGCAACGGCTGGCAACATCTGCTGGAAATTCATTCCCGCTAGCCCCCGTGTAGCTCGAAGGGACCATCCAAAGTCCTGCTGCTAACGCCGCGCCGTCGCGCCGCCGCCGCCCCCACACCGGCCCGTTGCGTCGGAATCCTTTCTAAAGAGCCCGGCGCTGGATTCCACCGAGCGTGAATTTTACCGGCAGCTTCTGATGCAAGATTCGCCCTCGCATCGCGTCGCGTTTTTCTATTTATTCTTTCCAGCCGGGACGGAGAAAAACCTAGCAGCTACTTCGACCAAGAATCTCGTTTCAAAGCTTGTCAACCGATACCGTTCGACGCAAGGCGAAAGCGCGTTAAGAGGTCGTAACCAAAACTTTTCTACCGCCGCCGCCGCCGCCGCCTACCGGAGCTGTCGCCTTTTTCTCTGGGGAAACAGATGTGTAACGCTATTACCCGACCGCTGGAATTACGCTTTCCAGCGCTCCTCTAATTTTCCCACCTCTATTGGAAGCGAAGATGGAAAAAAACGACGGGTGGAAGGCGTGAGTGCGAAGGCGTCGCGGAATTTTCATTTCGAAATATTTATGCGCTCCTAAGTGCGCGGATGCGCTCGCCGGCTATTCGAGCGAGCGGGAAATAAAGATAATATATCGGTCGATTATACGCGGCGCACCGCATCGTGGCAGTTTTCTCTCGGCTAACGAAACGCTTTCCCGTGGCGCGCAGCGGCGTAATATGGAACGCTCGGCGAACGGGTAAAGACAGCCCGGACGACTATAGGATAATCAGGATGGTAACGCGATAGAAGCGGTCTACGTGTCCCGCCGCTTATAGGATCTGCTTACGTTAATATCTTTCCTCGGCTCTTTCTTCAACCCCTCGAAACCCTTTTTGTTCCCCAGCTCCCTGCGAGCCCTTACGCCGCGCGTCTTACGCCCTACGCCCACGAAAGCCCCGCTGCTGCGAGGCTATATTTTATTATTCGCAGCTTAGAGGCTGCGCCACCGAGAATTTTAAGAAGGCACGTCGTCACCTTCCTCGTCACCGCGAAATAAAGCCACGTCGCGTTCTTATCGTCCGCCCAGCGAACCCTTTTAACGACGCGGCCCGCGTTTCTAAATCTTCGTCATCCGGGTCTCAACGGCTCCCTAACGGATTTAACCCTTCCACCGGCAAGCGAAAATTATAAGTTTTTACAGCGAGAACGAAATATGGTTAACGGAGATCCTTCCTGTACAATTTGCGACGTCGGGTATCGTAAACCATCGACGGGACGAAAGACGCTCTAAAATTCATTAAAATTCTCCGCGTTCCGTGAATATTCGATGCGCACGGCAAGGTGTTGTCTCATCGTCGAATCCTCACACGTATCCGGTCCGCGCGGCCTCGTCGAGGAATTTTAATTTCATCGCGTAAAAGTTGGACAGGCCGGATCTCGGAAATGCGAATTAGAATTCAACCGCGTTTCTATCGGCGGTTGTCGTTTACTCCGTTAATCAGTGGGAAGAGCAGCGACCGGTCCAAGTTCTGCGGCTAAGCGAGGGCAAGGAAGCGACACGGATTACGTATTGCGACTGCCGGCTGCACCGCGCCCCGAGGTGTTGTTAAGCGCTGCGGCCAGGGCTTGTTAATGAACTACGCGAAATTAATTAGGGCTCGAGCGCAGCGCGCGGGCGCACGTGTCAACGTACCGCCGTCGCCGGGTCGCGCGGAGGAGACAACGACACGTGCTACGACGACACTGGTCAAACGTTACATCTGTGATTCCGGATTATCGATAATGCGACCACCTCCGGGGCTCGGAGCCTGCGGGCCGGTGCACCGATTCCGCCCTGACCGTAGTGATTTAGGTGCGAGCGTATCTGCTCGCTCGCTCGACCGAACGCGAGATTAACTCGCACATCCGTCGAGATTACGAGACACCGTGAATTCGATCGTCGTCCCGTCGCGTCGTCGTCGTCGTCCGATCTACTCCTACATTCGCTTTTGCAGATACGAACGACGTAATTGCGAGCGATCCCGTCTCGGTGCCATCGGCATAATATGGAAATTGCTACGTAATCGTCCCTTTGATTCGCGACGCGCATCGTTACGAGTCTCTTTTTTTTCCATCGCGACAAATCCGACTGTGGAGAACGGAGAAGCCGCATTTCCTTTTACGAACGCGAATGCAAAATGGGAATACAAAGAAAATCCGTGGCTCGTTATTGTCTGACGGCGGAGAGCTCGTCACGAGAGAAGTAGCAGACCGAGGGCTTTTTCTCGCGAAAATATTCTTCGATTCGCGAGGAGCTTACCTCTTTTCTCCCATTTTCCCTCTTCCTCGCGGTATTCCAGCGAGTCTACGGAAACGCGGTTTCTTACCCTATACTCGTATATTATCGGCGAGCATCGAATATTCCCAACGCCCCAGACGCCGATTTTCGCGCTCTGCTTTCGGAACAACTTAAAAGGGCTTCTAACTTCGTAACACTGCCTCTGGAAACTCGCAGTTACTGCTTTCGTAATGCCACTGAAACGCCAGAGACGCGTATCTACGTAGCGTCGTTCGAATTCCCCTGAATGCCTCTACCAAAAATTATAACGTCGAATTTTCTCCCCATACTTTGATTGCTTCCTTCGCTTCTTGGGACAACACGAGTACTCTTTCGTCTCTCTGGATACGTGGAGAAATCTTCTCGTTAAAATCGACGACGAGGACAAGGAGCGCGTCGCTCTAACTAAAGGTTCAGAAGAGACCGAGACCATCGAAGGCTACTATATATGGTACGTTGTAACACAGGTGCACCGTCGTCGAGGACAAAGAGCTAGCGGAGGTCCTTCGTGCACCGAACCTATCCTGACAGGTTCATTTCGAAGCCAATAGCGATGCTCTTCGTAGTTGCATTATTGGAAACGTCGAATATCGCAACTTCCTGTATCGAGTGCTCCCCACCTACGTTTTCATCGCCTTGGCCCGGAGATTCACGATTTCATCCTCGAAAGTGTATCAGACTCTGTTCAAATAAATATTATAAAGTTTCCTAATCACTGCTACGTTTTTCCGATCCTTGTGAATTATTGCGCAAAAATGTTCGGATTTTCAATTCGCCTGAGGGTACAATTGTGTGATTTTATGAATATAAATAATGTATTTGATCAAACTCGAGAGATTTCCGTTAAAACGAAGTACATATTTATATTGGTGTATAGCGCAGAGCATAGTATTTATATCGGTGCGAAAGAAAGACCATTCGTAACGATACTAACAATGCATGAGCGTACGTAGTGGGTAATAAAAAGAGCAAATATTAAATTAATAAATAATTCGCGTTTGATTACCGCGCGCGAGCCGCCCGACCGTTTTTCAATTCAATTGTATTCGAAATGAAAAACCTTTACATTTGTAATAACTCTTAACTACTGTTGTTCCTCCGGTGAATAAAAGTACCTGTAGCACCCGTATTTATATATGTATAACGAAAGAGAGAGGGCCGGGTAGGGGGAGAGGGAAGAGCTATTTCAGGTCGCGTTTGTTCGTTACTTCGCTTCGAAATTGTTCCGTGGATAATAACATTCACCGCGATATTTCCATAGCTACTCCACTCGCGCTTATTAGAGTTACGAGCTCGCGGGATTGCGAACTTTCGTTGAAAATCCGTGTCATCGAACTTGCGATACGGAGAGCTCAGAAGCTGCCGGAACTTTACAGAAGATTTTTTGCGGCCCGACGCCGGAATGAAATATTAATGGCGATTACAACGTGTGCGCTTACCATCTTAGAAATGATTACCGCGTTTATTTCCAATTAAACGATATCGTTCGAACAGCTGGTGTCACGTAAAGTTTTCTAAATACGAGAATTCGGAGGAAAACTTTTGACCGCGGATCGGTTTAATCGGCGTTGCTTAATTGGCAATTAGCATACCGCGGCGATGAAAATGTCTGGAGTCGACAGGCGTGATTGTTTAATTCAATCGGCGCCCCTTTAAATGCACCCTGGGCCCAGGTACTCATTTTCAGCCCTCGTCCCCGATCGATTCGAGTCCCCCCTTTTTAAACTCTCACAATCGGACGCGACTCCGAAACCGCGACTACTACCCGCCCGAGGAACGGACCGTTCTTATTTTCTTCTTTTCCGTTCCTTTTCCGTCCCGTTCTGCTCCTACGTGACAACATCTTCGTCTTTCCACCAGCTTTGACTCTGTTTCCAAGCCGAGAATCTATCCCGAGGGAAAGGAGGGCCTCGGTTCGCCAACGGGTATAGTTATCGGTTCCCTGGAGCGTTTCAACCTTTTCAACCTCTCGCTCTCCCTTCTTTTTACACTCTTTCCTATCCTTATCCACTGGGAGACAGTTCGATCTCGCGTCTCGTAACTTCGCTTCCGCAGTGACGAAAAATCGAACTGGCTACGATTCAGTCGTGCAGTCTATTCCGTTCTCCCGAAACGCGAAAGCAAGACTAACCGATTTCCCGAAAGGAAGATTCGATGGACGCGACGCAGCTATTAGCGCGATACCAAGCGGAAGTAGTAATGTAAAGTTATATCTATTTAGGAACTGAAATCCTTTGGACGCGACGCCACGCGTTAACGTGTGCCATTGTGAGTAACGTGCGCCCTCGAGGGCGGGCAGGGTTAATTAACAAGCGCACCATAGCCAACGAGCGCCGGCTATAATAAGCAGCTTAGCTGTTAATTAAATGCCGCGAGGTACCTTTTGTTCGGCCCGTCCGGTGAACACGACAAATTTCGTTAAGGTGATGCGCTAATAATTAGAAAGCGATAGCCGGTGGCGGACCCTGGGATTAATCGGGGTCCAGTCGCGCGGATAATGGCCGCGTCCAGTCCAGAACAATATTTTCACCGGACGTTGATAAGTTACTCGGGAACGTTGCGACTCTCAGTATCTACCGTCAAGTCGTCTCTTCGAATTTCCCGACGGCAATAGCACGCAACCTTTTCTCGTTGATTTTACTCACCGTAGTGTGCTTCAGCTGTCTTCTTCGTCCCTTGTACCAAGTGATCACCGCTGGTGGTCTCGAACCCGTGGTCTCGCATTCCACTTCGTACCGTTTCCCAGCCAGTAGCGACTCGTTCCCGACTCCCTTCTTCCCTGGCCTTCTTATGGTCACCGTCAACGGTTTCACTGAAAACGAACGGAACACGTTCTTCAATAGAAATCGACCGATCGATCGATGGACCAACGGTTCGCCGTCGGACGAATGACATAACGCGACCTGTTCTCTTTTTTTCGAATCACCGAGTCCGGCAATCACGCGGTCCGACGACGCTAATCGGGCGCGATAATTAAAGTGAACCGATAATTAAGGCGGACAAACGAGCGCAGGGGATACGTGAGCTCGATGCAAATCGTGCGGCCGATTTAACGCTGTAAAACCCCGTCAGGTCAATTACCAGTCATTTGTCATTTCCGAAGTTCGCAGCGGCCGTTCGCCTCGCGCAAAAATAGCGCCGCTCGACGACTCCGATCTTCCGTCTTTTTATGTTCTCGACTCGTGTCCTCCTTTTTTTTTTATCGAAAATTACCGAGTACCGATCGCGGGAAAGACGAATTTTCCAGCGACAGCTCTCGTAGCGATAACGAGCCGATTACGCGCGACAAACATTGATTTTTCGTCGCGCGCGTGTAAACGCGCGGAACCGATATCGTTCGAACGAGGCGACAATCGCTTTGACGGACAATAAATCCGAGTTTCCAATTGGCCAATATGGGTAGCAGCCGAACTGAGCGCCGCCGCGGCGATCGTTCGAGCGTAAAATATAAAAACTACGCGAGCGCGTGTGCATGTTCACGCCCCACGTGAATCGGTTCGTTCACCGTTCCTGTCAAACCGCTCACGCTCAAGCGATAATGAGTCTCGATATCTTTCGCTTTCGTCCATTGTCCTTTCTCTGCGGCTTCCCTCCGTTTCGGCTCGTTTGTAGGGCACCGCGGTGGTCTCGTTACGGCTATGGAATACCAACGAAAACGATTTCGCGTTTCGATTTTATGTTAACGAGCTTCGGCCGCGTCCCTGTCCCCTCTGACAACGTAATAGTGGGATCGCGCGGCCGAGTCGCCGTGCATTACAAATTTTTAAACGAAACGGGCGCGCGGCGGATCGCGTCCGGTCAAATATTTGATTTGCCGGATTTTCGGAATCACCGGTCTTTTCGATTATCCGCAATCTCGTTCGATCCCCACCCGTTCGTCTAGTCGGGCAACGGTTTGCCTCGTCACCGTTCCCAGCTTTTTTCCTTTTTCCTTCTTTTTTTTTTTTTTAATTTCTCTTTCGTTTTTTGTTCCGCCGGCCATGAAATGAATACACGCTCTCTCGATGCATGGTCACTTGGTCCAGCTCGCGAAAATCAAAGAGCGAGCATCGATCAATCTCTCCCTTTTCCTCTCCGCGTTTGGCCTCTCACTTCTGCTCGTAATACATCCTCGTCGCGCCTCTTCTCCCTCACTCTCTCTTTCTCCAATTCTCCCCCTATCCCTGTTTCATCGCGTTCGTTTCGTTATCTCTGCGCACGGAGCGCGGCATTTTTTTTCTTTCTCCTTTTTTTGTCGTTCGTCCTCGCTATGATGGGTGTTCTCGTTCACCAATAACGGGTCTTCAATTTCGTCGTCCGTCTCGTCGAAAATTTCGTGACTCTCGGAAGCATACATCATTCAGCGGCGATCAATCCCGATCGGTCGTAGCCTCTCTCCCCTCGCGCTCGTTTTCTTCTCTCGCGAAACGTCAGTTCTCGGAGATCGCCCAGCGGATGGAGCGCGGACAACCGGATGACAATCGCGACGAAACACCGGTAAATATTTCCTAGAATTTTGTCGATTTCAACGCGAGACGGGAATCGAACGTGTCACTTAGGGATGGAATTGTTCGTTTCGTTCAAAAACGATGTACGCGGATGAGCCAGAGACAGTTTCCCGTTGTAACTAACACGGAAGCTAACAATGGACGAAGACAAATTTGAAAACTTCGTTCAGACATGACATGTACAATACTTCCCCTTAGCTTTCCCTCTTAAACCAGATAATTGATCTATGAATTTTTCAGTTTATACGCGAAATTAGGGACGGTCGCGAGTTAACGAAGAATTCTAATTTTGCGAAAGCATTTGCGGGGACGACGGTTAGGGGGTAAGGATTGACGCCAGCTTTCATGGGTTGTTCGAGTTCTACCAGAGCCAGAGGGCGGGATGGATGAGCCGGGTGGGGCTCCAGGCTGGATTTAATATATTTCTCGTCTTATCTCCCCTTATCTTTCCCTTAAAGGCGATTCACAGCGGTGAGAGAGTAAAGGATGTTGGCCCACTTTTGCCGTCTCGTAGATCTTATCGTTAATACGGGACAAGATAGACTTCGGGGTGAGGCTCCTCTGATTTGTTGGCCACGCGATAAGAATTTGTAGGTATCCGCGTTGCCTCTTTCTCTCCTTCCCACCCTCTCGTTCGCCTTTATTTCATTTCTCTTTTAACGTGGCTCGGTTGCCGCTCATACCTCTCGACCCCTACCCTCGGGAATAAGCCTTCCGGTCTTGGATACTTCGATATCCGATCTCTTTATAGTTCGCGAATTTAAGATGACGATAAGATGTTTTATAGATGGCGAAATAAAATGTACAACGCTACTCACGATTAAGTTCCAAGGAAACGGACGACTCCTTCGACTCGATCAGGTCCGTATTTCTCGCCTGGCACGTGAAATTCGCACCAAGGTCTGACCGAGTGATGGGCTTTATCGTCAACCTGGAAACAAATCGAAACCAAAAGCGGCGAACGATTAATTATCTGCTGTAGGTTATCTTCAATTAAAAAAGTGATGCCTACCTGTTTTCGATCACGTCACCCACGTTCTTCTCGTACTCCTCGTCTTTGACTTGACCGTTGACGAGCCACCGGACCATAGGCTCCGGCTTGCCTGCGAATTCGAATTAACGAACTGTTAACGGAGAGCCAAACGGGAACATCTCGTAAAAAGATTTACTGCTCGTAATTTTTATTCCTCTCGTATAAAAGTTTGACCGGGTAACGTCTCGGGGAACTCCCGTTCTCGATCGAACGAAACGAAACGATTAAGTAGGTACGCGACTAAGGTTGTTCGCCAGATTTACGGAACGGTCTCCCGAGAAGCATCGTCGTCGGCTAGTCTCGAGTCACGAAACTGAAGCGAATCGCGCTGGCCCCTATGGAGCCTAACGACTCGTGGAAAGTGGTTTCAGCGGAGGAAAAAGACCGTGGGAGGTGAACGAGGTAAAAGTGAGGGCGCAACAGAAGTGGACAGAGAGGGATCCCGCGGACGGAGAGAGGATCGCCGAGACGGGGCTTTTGCCGTGGCTACTAAAGGCTAGATGAGTTCTCGGGAACTTTTAAATTAGCCGATACCCCAGAGTTTTGGATGCGGTACTCCAGACAAAAACCCACCGGGCCAGACTTCCGTAGAGCCGGTCGCTTCAATAACCGCGCGAACGTTATAGTTTTCTCCCTGCTCGCCCCCGCGGCCGGCCTCCTCTACCTATCCTTCTCCAGGGAATCGATAAATATCAATTACAGAGAGACAGACGGACGAGGAGAACGGATCAAAGCGACTGAAATATTAAAAGCCGGATCTACAACGAGCTACGATTTCGACGGTGCTCAAGTAGTATCGATAACACACCCGGATCAGGCGATGGATATTGCGAAAAATCGGAAGTTCACGCGTAACCCGAACGATGATAAATAAGGATTAATATCCTGTTCCATCCGTTTAAACTTTTCGATCTACGTGACTCGGAAAACTGGCGTTTATCGAAAATGAATGGTTCGCAAGGTGGGTATACGTATATCGCGGCATCGCATCGCGCCGTATCCGTATCGTATCGGGTTCCCCGATTCGAAAGAACGTTCCGTGGATAGACTTCGTATTATATCACCGATTTACATATCTCCCGCGAATAATACGCGGCTCCCCCGCGGTCGGGCGCATATTTTTGTCGGAAAGCCGAGAGGTGATAAAATGGTCCGGCTGATATACGAGCGTTCTAAGAGTCGGGTATGCGCCGGTAATGGGACAGAAATCATAAAGCGAGGCGAAAGCGCGAACGCGGTCTATCGAACGAGGCGGGACACGTATACAGCTGGCACATAGCTCGTTTGCCCGGTCAGCTTACAATCATCCCTTTCATTGTTATTCACGATGCCGTACCTCGCTGGAATCGCAATTTAATCAGACCTGGTCGCGTCGCGTCGCCGCGACACTTAAAATTGCAAGCTCGATCTTCGACGGAACACCGGGCTTAGATTAGCTCCGGCCGTCGTTGTTATTCACGATGCTCGTCGATCTAGATTGCATTTTAACCGTCTCGTTCTTTTCGATTTCCGATCGCGTTCCTACTCCCTTTTCAGTCGTCCGTGTCTACGGATCAAAAGACGAAAAAGAAAGACAAGAAGAGACCTCTCTACGTAGTGAAGTCCATCCCGAGAAAAAGAATCAGGGTCAAAAGTTTCTTTTTACGCGGCGAGGTTGACATCGGTTAATTCGCAAGCTCCGGAGTGGGTCTAAGGTGAGGGTCGTTTGCATGAGTGCTTAGAGGTGAAAGCTAGGTCGTACCGTGGTGGTTGCGGCGAGGGAGACGGGTTTTAGCCTTGGTCCTGGGTTAGGTCCCGGGAATGGATTCGGTAGTACGCTCCTGGCGTTGACTTTAACTGTCGGACTATATTCGAACTCCTACCATCCACTCGCCCTCTGAACCAGCCAGTCGGTGGGACGGAGCCCTTAAAAGGACGACAACACCGGCGCTATCTGCGCGGCGGGGGGTACTAAAGTGCGGATTTTAATCCGCGGATACCGGACGATATCTTACAGGATTAAGCCCGGTCCGCAGCCACTCGCCCACATCTAACAAGTTTACCGTCGCGTCGGTTCGAACTCTACTTAAGGCAAATACCCGCTTTGCCTAGGAGTCGAGATCCTTGCCAGATTTCCTCCTTGCTCTCTCTCTCTCTCTCATCCTCTCGCTTTAATTCACTCACTTCGCTTTCGCCCCTCTCTCTCCTTTAGTTTCACCGTGGTCTGGATTTTAGACCTCTTGATTTAGGATTATCAAGGAAGCGTCGATAAGCTCAACTCGCTGCCTGTGCTTGCTACATGCCTCAACCCTTTGGGGATCTCCGTTACCAAACAAAAATGTCATACTACGTCGAGGAACAGATTATAATCTACCATCCTATAAATGAAACGGAGTAGCGATCGACGTTGAGGGGGTAATGATCCGAACGAACTTGTTAGGCAACTCCGTATCTCGGACCCGGTGAAATAAAACTTATCACGGCTGGTTGAGCGCTAAGTGTCTTGTAATGTGAATTGGTGCATGTAAGTTCCAAGTTTCTATCGTTACATTGTAACGTTGAATATAACGAGATTAGAAGGAACAAACTATGTACACACGCCGAGTTCGAGTTTCCTCGAATCCCACGGGAGCAACGGTAAAGGCAATCAAAGACCGGGTTCGCTGGAAAAGTTTCTTACAGGTTTTAACGGGACAGAACGCGAGACGCGCGTTGCGACCGATGCGGATTTAAGGATGTATTGGCTATACAGTCAATCCCAAAAGTTTATGTACCTTAGAAAAACGCATTTCCTATAATTAAAAAGAAATCAGACATCGGAAGAACAATGCTAATAATAAACAACAACACAAAATTTTCGATTTTTCCGAGATTTTTCCAAGGGGTACCCCTTCAATTTCTTTCAAATTTTCGTTTTTGGCCAATAACTCCCAAACCGTTGGACATACGGAAAAATTGCATATGACCTTTCTTGTAGAGGAGGACGAGATCTACAATTTCCATCTAAATTTTTTTCGCTAGTGTCAATAGTTGACGAGTAATTTGCAAAAAACTATTTTTTCGTTTTTCGTCAATAACTCGTTAAATATT